ATGACTTAATGCTAAATATTTTGTTATAATGCAAAGGCAATATAGGTTAGCCATTAATACATTCTAAGGGGTTTTCTCACTTTATAATACTCATCACTTCTGCAGGTATACGTTAACAAGTCATTAATAATGTTTCTTAAACATCAAGTCTGCAGTTGTAAGTGTTAGTAAGTTGTTAATAAGTTGACTGTAGGCAATGGATCAGCTAATTTACTTTTTATATATAGTACAATTTAAATATAGGCACAAACAGTATTTACACTTTACACACAACAATTAATTTGGTCAAATATAGTAAAAAAGAGAAACAATAAATTATGACCTTGAGTTGGGGGTTTTAGTGGGGACATTTATTTTCATTGTTATATCTTACTACCTGGCAAAAGCTACACATGTACACTGAATAATTTCTCACTATTTGCCAGCTGAGCTAAAGTCAAGAAAGACTGGATGAGTGTCTTTGTCGACTGGCAGACTCTGACATTATCCACAATCAGACTCTTTTGGATGTAATTAACGTAAAAGCTTAGTTAGCACATGGCCTGCAATCTACTATGCTTATCCTCTTTGACCAATTGAAAAAAAGCCATTAGATAGTTTGTTTAAATGAACATACTATAAAAGATAAAAAAAAGCATGCAGATGTTGACATGTCACACACACACACACACACACACACACACACACACACACACACACACACACACACACACACACACACACACACACACACACACACACACACACACACACACACACACACACACACACACACACACACACACACACACACACACACACACACACACACACACAGGTTGACATGGTGTTGTTACAACAGACCAGAGAGCTGTATAACAAACATGTCATGTCTAAAAAGGTAAAAAAAAATAAGCTCATACTGTTTCTGCTGAATCATTTGCAATGTCTCATCAGCAGACCTTTAGATTTTATTGATGATCAAAAAACAGGACAAAAAAAAAAAAGGAATAATCTTAAGGGCGGATATGGATTTAGTTAATTTATGTCCCCCAAATTTGGGCAGTACAACACATCTGCTGACACCAGCAGTGTTTAATATGCATCCAAATGCAAGATGCTTGCTTAGTGAAAAGGGGGAAAATACTAGATTCAGCAAATAAGAAAATTAACAACTCTAAGTGTTGACTGAACTTCAACAGCTCAAACTGAAACACTCTCGAGGGGACATTGATAAAATAACGTGTTACCACGTCTAGGCAAAACAGATGACAATAAATTATATAAAGAACATTGCAATCAGATTTTACTTCAAGAGGGTTGATAAGCTAACCACGTAGTTAATTTTGGGTTCAGTTTTGACAAAGTTGGTGAAAGCAACCAACCAAGGCTCAAACACGAAATGGATGCCAGTGCTATAGAAACAGGGAATGCTCACCTGAGTGAGAAATGTAGAGGTGATGCTGGGAAACCAGCTGTGGCTCAGCCTCTACACTCGAAAAGAAAAACAGCTTTTGTGGCCAAAGCAAGGGACAGCCTCAAGGGAACTTTTGTGTACATAAGGAAAATGAATTAACTGTTAAAAATGTTTACTGGGAACATGCTTTCTTCTTCTTCTTCTTCTTCAAAAAAAAAAGCTACTTCAGCTACTCTGTGTGGCTCTGGTGATGCCCAAAGCCTTCCCCCTGACATCTGCTATAATGCCTGACATCCACAATCAACTCTATTAGATAAGACTTTAAGCACATTCTCTGTAATCCATTCACATGCAAAGCAAGTGCTGAAATTGCCTGCACCTGTGTGTGTTGTGCCGCGCGTTAACAGAGAGGGAGTGTCGACTTCTTCTGCAGAGGCAATGCTCTTTTTAAGGACACTGTGTGTACACTTGGAGGACTAAGGGGAGTTTGAAATTAAAACTTTCTGTATAAAGCTCCTTTGAAGTATTAGGATAAGTATTGACACTGAACTGCATAATCCCTGTGAGCGAATTAAAGACAGAGAGGGAAAGAGGAGGAACTGAGGCAGGTAGGTAATTAAAGGTTGTGAGGTTGGGATGGACTTACTGGCTTGGGTGTTATTTATCTTGCGTTATGTTCATGTCAGTGCAATGCTACAAGGCTCAAAGCTGTGCTTAGCATTTATGTATGAATACCAGTATACAAAGTGATTATGTCCGTATATTCTGCAATTTAATAGTACCGGCACCCGCAGGACTGGCAGTTAAAGAACTGACAAACACAAAGCTGGAGGTGCAATAAAAAAAAGTGATAACTGTAATACCATTTTAAATAAATATTCATTTCAAACATAAAGATTAAAGATTATGTTGAAGTATAAAGCAAAATGTTGTGCTTTGGATTTTTAGCAATGGGTTGTTTGCTACTTAAATGTTGGGTAAAATATGTTACATGCCAAAGCCAAATTTGGTAATGGATACATCCAAATTACCATTGCTGTATGTGGAGATGAGTGGAATACTGACGTTCAGTATTAGTATGCAAATTCATGGAATTAGATTAAATCCAAATTGCCCACATAAAAAAAAAATCTCAATTTAGAATGTTAGCATGCTAACATTTGATACTTAGCAATCAAAACAAGCACAGCAGGTGGTGATGGGAATGTTGTTAGTTTTGCAGATATTCAGTTATGAACCAAATGATCAAAGTAACAATTCTACTTGATGACGGTGCTACATTAGAATTGATCCTGAGGGGAATGTGTGTACTGAATATCATGGCAATCCATCCAATAGTTGTTGAGCACAAATATGAACCCTCATGTTGGGACTAGATGAAAATACAGGGTCTTACCAAAGTCTATATGAACCATAAATGGCACTAGTCCATCCAGTAGATGTTGTGATATGTCGCAGGACATCTGAAAACTTGTTTAGCTGGTGGCACTAGAGGGCACACGAGGGAATCACAAATCATTAGGATTCATCCTCTGTGCATCATGGAGACCTGCACCAAAATCCATGGCAATGTAGCCCATAGCTGCTGAGAAATTTAAGCCTGGAACAAAGTGGTGGGCCGACCAACAGACCAACATTGCCATCCCTAGAGCTGCTAGCATGGCTATAAACCTTAAATTTAATTGATATGTTTACACATATATTTCCTTTCATGTAATGTTATGAATACAGGTGGTCCGAGCCTTGTTTCGTGGCTCAGCTATTCAAAAACCGACACTGGTAAACTCTAAAATATCTGTGTCCCGTTGAGCTCACTTATTCATCTTCCTGGTTATTTTTCTTGTCGTAAAAATTTAAAGCAACCTTGTGATATCTTTCAAACTCTTCACAACAGTGTGGCCACCGGCTACATAGGGGCCATGCTCCGAATAAGGGAAAGGCCTTAGACAAAGCGATCCGCAGTGCACCACCAAGTCAGCACAGTGTGCAGAGAGAAGAGAAACGGGGCGAGGTCTCCCTCGTCTGTTAGTGGATTATTGGATTTGGATTATCTGTGCAGACAAAATTACCCATTAGGGAAAATTGTAGCATGCTCTTTCAGAGGAGCTGGTGCTCACAAATACTCTGGATAACTTTCACCTCACACAATAGTGTGACCTGAACACCCCGGCTGGTACATTATGTACAATACAGACACTTGAGTGACCAGAATCAGCAGCACACTGTTCAGAGAAATGCCTGAAGACCTGAACGACGCACACACTGGGGACTGAGTGCAGCGGCACATGTAGAGATGATGAATGTGTCAGCAAAGCAAGGCAGGATGTGTTCAGGAGCTGCTAATCATCACTCACTTGAAGGGTGAGGGGTGGGTGGGGGAAAAAAAAAACAGAATAAGGGAGGGGTGATTTAGCTATTTTTATCTGGATTCCATGAAGACAGCTGCCATCCTGCCGAGTGTTTGTGAAACTTTCCTGCACTTTCAGTCAACCAGGAAGAATGACAAGAAAAGATGGACTGTCACTGTGTAGTTTTTTCTGTTATATTTGTGGTATAATAGAAATAAAAACAAAGACACTCTGCCTTTAATGCTTTCAAAGAGGCCAGTTGTGGAGTGGGTGCTGAAAATCCCATAAGCTCATCCTCTTTAGCTGAAAGCATTATAGACTTTGGGCTCTGTAACTGCCCGTGTGCCTCTGTAATCTGTCAATGTGTCCAACTGTAAGTCTTTACATGAGACATCAAATCATTGTGATCATGTATATAATGCTATCTCTTTTGAAAATAATACAGAGTTAGAAAATATCTAATTCCTCACTTGGTTGACCAATTAAAAAATAAACCAAAAAAAAAAAAAAAACCCCATAAAACCCCCCAAAAATTTATATATTTATAGCCAATGGCTCCAGTCTGGTTATACCTATAAAAGACTATTGGGGAATGTGGCCAGCAGGTGGATGGTTAAGGTCACATTTTATGACCCTGACATTCCCGTCCCACTTCAGACCAACCAGGACCTCTGCCATCCGTTTGGTGCTAGACGGGTGGAGATAAGGGCCGGACAGAGTGACAGTGACATGCCCCACACACAGGCAGAAGCCGGGAAAGTAATTCTGTATATGGTGGCCAACACGCCACAACATCAAGGCTCTGACCCAAGCCATAGATCCCCATCAGCATTCTCCCACAGCCCAGTTTAGCTCTGAGTCAATGAATTCTTTACTGAAGATGGAGGAATGAGCTGCATATCAAGAGGGATTTAGCATTAATTAGTGAACCATCTAAACATGGCCTAGGGCTCGCTGCCATGCTATTCTTCATGCCACCCTAAATTAAAACAGTTTTATATAACAAATATTCAGATTTTATTTCCCTCGGTATGAAGGAAATACCGAGCATAGTGATGCTGTTTTGGACTGTGTAAAGTGCTGTTACAATGTATGTCAAGATGTTTAAGTACAAGTTTTGCTCTGTGTTAAGTTCAATAAAATGGTATACAATTCTTTCAGATATCTAAGGATATGCTTTTGTTTCTCTCTTGAAAGAATCATTGAGCCATTAACATGACTTCATTAACAAATACAATTTAGAGTAGACAGATAAGTTGTTGGAGGAACTTAATTTATTTTCACTTTTTCATGTAAAAATATACATCAAGCGGGGTTTACTGCAAAAATCATTTGAAAAATAAAATAACTTTTTTTTCCCATCTCAAACCACAATACTTTTTATGACAGTTCAAAATGTGTTTGTTTAATTTTGTTACATTTTCCATGGGCGTACATGTTTGACATTTGTCCATGACTGTACTGAATTAATTTATATAGCCACGCTGAGGACACCAGTTTACATAATTCAGTGAAAGAGTGAGATGTTCAGAAGTAGAGCTCGAATGTTTTTGTGTATTGCTGTGTTTAAAGGTGAACTAACAAAAACTTTAAAACGCTGGAAACAAAATTAACCCCAGAGGCCTGTAATCAAAAAAACAACAATAATGTGTGCAACAATGTACTACATTTTCTGAAGAGGGTCATGGACCGGTTTACAAAAGAGATAATTTTTTGGTTTCCATGGTTTTCAAAATGTAGTAAATAAGTTTGTTCCAAGTTCCTCAAACTACACGTCTTCTGCTTGTATGGATATCAATTCTCGATTCTCTTGTGTTCTCCTATGGCGTAAACTTCCAAAATTAATATGTATGTATAGAATGAACTACACTCTGCAACCTGCTTGAAAACTTTTTTTCTAGAATATACAAAAGTTTTCTACAAAGAAATGCAAGTAAATCTATCTTCTTCTAATTCACCTTATTCACCCTTTTAACCCAAATGCAACACAATATTCCCTCTGTCCCTCCACCCATTGTGTGGCACAAAGAGCTTGATTGCAGAAAGTAGCAGTGACGTGGAGGTTTAATAAAACTAGCTTCTCCAACTGGCAAATGTTTGTGGACTTGATCTGGAGGAAGAAATGACAGACAAAGCAGAGAGGGAGAGATTATTGAAAATGAATTTCAATACTTGAAACGGCACTTGTAGTTGTAGTGTTACCACAAGACTTGTACAACTTTCCATTTGGTGTGATGGTTTTGTTATGAACACTGAATACTGGGTTTGAATGTAACTGGGTTTTTTAAGGAGATGATGAGAGGAAATTGGAAATTTTAAGTGGTTAAAGAGCACAAACAGCTTCATTTTAAAATAAACAGAAACACATACACACACAAAATAAATATTTAATTGTTTTTTCATGTCTTGTGTAATTTATCAAATATCACCGTAAATGAAATTTTTTTCACAAAAATAAACCAGTTCAGGATTCAACATGGTTGACCACAGTTGGTTTCCGACGGGACGGTGACTTCTGTTAATCTGTTGTCTAATTTTGATGCTTTGGTGAATCGGTGCTAAAAAAGGACAGCGATTTTTGAAATTTTGAGTTTCAGTAAAAAATTACATAGGCTTACACTGCATATCTGCAGGAAAACAAGCGACCACTATTTCAATGTCGCTGCAATCCAAAAAAACATGTACAGGTTAGCAAAGCAACACAATGAGCGGAAAGCTGAATGTACTGTAGAGGGAAGACACAAAAAGACAAACTAAAAAAAGAATGAGAGAGAAGGATTATTAACAGCATGTGAACGTGTCCAATAGGCTAAGCCTCGTCTCCACACACTCCTGCACACTTCAGAGTGCATTCCACTGGAACACACCCCAGGGAACACTGGCTGCCATGTGACACACAGCAGCAAACGGGGGGGGGGGAAGCAGCATAAGAGGAGGAGAGGTAGGAAGCGGGATTGAGGGATGAGAGACAGAAAAAGGAGAGACAGTATGATGGGAATGAAAATTTAAATCGCAAGGGGGCAATTAGTAAGGAAGCGCTACTAGAGTGTTCAATCATGCACCGCCCATTTCAGGGACAGCGACTTTACACAGGGGGTCAGAATGATGTGTATGTGCAGCATTGTACCGTATTTATTGTATTATGAATTCCATCAGCTTTTTAAATGTGATGTATTATTCTTTTTTTTTTAATTCAAGGTGGAAACTGCCAAAACAGAAATAAATGCTTGAATTTCAATGCAGCAGAATAGCAATAAAGCTCAATCTGACTCTAAATGAATAAAGAGGAAAGAGAAATAAATGAGGGTAGATGAGGAGGTATTAAATCTGAACAGGTTCTAAGGGGAGCCGTGTTATGGAAGAAAGATGTTCGCCTCAGCAGAGTTCAAGCACCACAGGCACAATACATTGCTGCCAGGGAGAATGTTGGTCTGTCTACTCACTGGTTCACTCACACTCACACACACACACACACACACACACACACACACACACACACACACACACACACACACACACACACACACACACACCAATTAAAAGTAAATGTGTTGACCACACTTACTGGTTTGTAGAGCCGAAGGTGTTTCCAGAGAATCCTACAAAAAGGAAATACAGTGATTAATGGGGTGAAATAAAACATCATGACTGTCAGTGTGTATAAATATGAGATGTGTACGTGCCACAGGCAAAGCTTTGCCACCCAGGACTATAAAACACAGAGGCAGAGAAGATTTAGAAAGGTGAATGGATGAAAGGGGTAATTGGACAATCTGAGGTACAGTATGTATTTGACTAACAACAAAGCTGAACAAGTTAAGGAGACAAAAGAGAGGAAAATCACCCAAAAATAAGTGGGAGGAAGATGACGAGATCCCTGATCTGCTAACAAATTTGGGTCATGCATGCAAACTCAAAGGCATGCCGGCATATCGTCTCTGCAGAGTAACACCTCCTGTCACTGCACTGATACAAGTAAATGTTTGGTTTTAAGAATGTTGTATGACGACCATTTGCTGTTCTGATTATTCATTTTGGGGATAAAATAAAAAACCTACTCAGCAATTATATTTCATTACATAATTAAATGAAATAAAAATGGAATTAAACAATCTACGTCTGCATTTCAAAGCTTCCAAAGTTCATCAACCACCAAAAACATTGAAAGAAAAAGGGCCATCCTCACCAAGAACAAACATATGACTATAACAATAATGATGTGAGTGATGAACGGGGAGAAAAGAAAAAAACAAAAAGAAAAGGCTGCTAAAGTTGTAGTCTCACCTCCTGCCTGTGGCTGTTGTCCAAACCCGGAGAAGCTGCTGGCCTGACTTCCAAACCCAGTGCCCTGCTGGGCCAAGGCCCCAAATGATGGAGGGTTCTGATTGGCTAGAGCACCAAAGGATGGGCCGCTGGGAGGTGAGGCAAACCTGAAAATGGAAGGAGACGCAGACAATGTGATATGGTATAGAGAAACAAAAAAACACCACGTCGCTAAATTAAAAATAAATATCTGACACTGAGACAAAATGAGTGAATAATTCAAAGCAGGGAAAAAGGGAGATAAGAAAGAGAAATGACTATGGTGTATATATATTCTTTGTAAACATGCTTGCAAAGCAGAAGGTGTCAGATGGTGTTTGTGAGGATTGAGAGATGGGGGTTTAAACAGTAATCCCTTTCGAGAGGACCCACGCCCATTGACTCCCGAGGGAGAATAAGCAAAACACGGAGAGAGACACAGACAGAGAGAGAGAGCGAGAGCGAGAGAGAGAGAGAGCAGGCCAGTTTAATCTGCCGTTAGCAGTGAGATTATCTGTGGAGAATAATCTAGTCCTGCACAGGGCTCCATAGTTTTGGGCTCATAGCCATGCTCACTGTAACAAAACACATGCACATTGTGGACACAGACGGTTGATGAAACTGGAGAAATGATTACAGTGAAATGATAATTTTTTTTTAAATATAAATCTCCTGTGAGACTAAGAAAATTTGTGACAACAGTGGATTCAATAGTGTGAAAGTAGCCTCCGTTGGTCTCAGTGCAGTCTCCAAAACTTGGTTTACATTAGGTTTATTTTTATCACATCTTTACTATGACGTTAATCGAGCGTTTAACAACTTTGTTTTATGCTTTTGTGATGGATGTTCTGAGCGAGAGAGATCACAGATGTTCCGATTCCCAAAAAACTGCTCCACGCTGCAGGCAAAATCCTGCTGCTCCTCTCCCGCCTGGGTATTACACAAAGGCCTGGTGACACTGACATTCTCAAATGTTGAGTGACTACACCAAAGTAACAACCAAAAATAAACACTACTTAGTTTACTACAAAGTTGTGCCACATAAAAACATTTGCGGATTTAGCCTTGAATGCCATTAATTTAAACCAAGACAACAAAAAACAGATGCACTTGTACATTAAGGTTGTCACCTTTTATACAAAATTGGGGAAAATTAAAAGTTCTAACTGTAATGACCTGTTCAAATTTGAAGTAGTTTGCCTGGTGGTCCACCAGAGGGCGTTCCTAAAATGTAAACTAGTCCGTAAACTAAGCTAATTCCTAAAAAATTAGCAGGACACTACTTATTACACTATATGGGTTGCATTTAAGTTAATTTAATATTTTTATGATAATTTCAACATATAAAGAGTCAACACTGGCCCGCCGGCTGCCATTGTCCCCCAGTGCAGCACCTTTTTGCTATAGCCACTCCAGTTTTGTACTACACAAGTAAGGGTCTGTTACGAGTATAGTGGTTAGTGTTTTTTGTTTTGCTGCCCTGTTCTCTGTATATATGCCTGCTCCAGGTACCGCCCTCCCCTCCGTGCTGTAGTGACTGGTCAGGCACAGTGGCAGTCGATTTGTTCAAGAGACCAGCCGGCTTTATAAACAGGAGAGCAGCAAGCAGACGGGGCCAGTGGGACAGTTTAGAGCTGTGTGTTGTGTTGTTCCTAACCCGTGTTTTACTGTTTTTAATCCTCCTTCAGAGGGACGGTGATCATGTTTTATATTTTATAGTTTTGTTATTTGTTTAATTAATAGCTTTGCCTGTGAAGTGAGTTATTTTGTCCAAACATTGCTTTCTACTTTTTTAAGAAAGTAGTTTTCAGTTTGAACTTTTCATTTGTAAGTATTCATTTATATTGTTAATAAAAATCCCTTTAGTTTATACATAGAATTCTGTTTTGTGTGTTTCTTTTATTCTGGGTTCATTCTTTAATTGTTACTCTCCTCTCCCCTGGATTAAACATCTGAGGTCATAACAGGATTGCAAAAACTGACAAGACAGGAAAGTGACACATTTTAAATAGAAATGTGCTAAAAATCTGCATATATTACTCAATGCCTGTGCAATATTGTCTCTAATATATCGATGTATATATTCTTAAAAAGCCATTTGTATAATGTTTATAGTATTTTATTCAAACCTTTCACAGAATATAAAAAGCATTCTTACCCAAATCCTCCCATGCTGGAAGCCGCCGTTCCCTCTCCGAACACTTTACCGGCTGAGGGAACCATGTTGCCGCTGAAGGAGGCATTTGAGCCGAATGATGCTCCACCACCAAATGCTGGGGAACTACCAAAGGAAGGGGGACTCCCAAACACTGGAGCACTGCCAAAACCACCTGTAGAGGGGAAAATAGTTTTGTAACAGAAAGCAGCAGAACATAAACAGGGAGTTACAGCACTGTTTCTACAAAGAGAAGACAAAAAAGGTCAGTCCGGATGCGGTTTCTTTTGAAGCATGGATCGCGTTTATTTTTATTTTATTTCCCCTACATGGAGGGTATTTTTCTTCTCACAGGGGTTCCTGGGCTGAACAGATATTCAGGTACAATGTATATGACTACACACATATTTTACATGGTCTAAGCCAGGGCTGACACTAACTAAAGAGAAATAACAAAAAAATATATTTAAAAATGAATATGCTAATCATTTCTAATATTAATCTAATATAAATATTTTCCCCTATTGTTTCTCACAAGAAAATGTCTTGTGAGAATGGTGAATACAGTTACTATATTGTGGCTTCTTGTGTACAATACATTATTGTTCTGGAACAACACACTGTGACAGCCAAATGACTGTATGAATACTTCACTCCAACTCAAAGCCTAAGAGGTAGCAGTGCAGAGGGAGAAAGGGTGTACTGAAATTACAGCCTGGCTACCAGCATGCACCAGTAAATAATTGATTGAGCTAATGTAACAAGATTACATTCCCTGTACGTGGGCCAGTGATAGGGCATTAGTGTGCTGAGTGGTACCAATATCCCAGTGGAGCTAAGGGATAGTTTGGATGACTGCTACAGCTACAGCTAAAACCACTTACTGCAAGAATAAAAAAAAGAAATAAAAAGAAAGAGGCTCAATTTACATCTTGAAAACTCACTTTTATTTGTAAAGGAATTAAGTTCATTCTTTATACTTAAACTTGCTCTAAACCTAATTTCAACGGCACTTGATCCACTCTAACTTGTTAATCTAGTAAATACTCTAAGTCTTGGAGCTTGAGTGTATAGGAGCAGAGTAAGCAGTTTAGACCATGTGAAACATCTAAATAGTGGTGTCACTTTTTATTTTTGAAGTTGAGAACAGAATCAGCTGTATTGACTGACACAAATACAAACTGGCATGTCTGTTCTCTTCTAAATAAAGTGAAGCAATTCCAAAGCAGTGAGACCATAGCCCAAATGAACTACGTGACTTGACACTTAAACTCGTGGGTTATCTGACAAACAGTAACTCTGGTTTTCCAAAGCATGGCATAACAAATCAACAAGGATGTCAGATTAGGCTTATATTCAGCTGTCTTCACACGCTCTCAACTGTTGTAGAGAAAATCAAATTGTAGCAGAAAATTGGTACATATCTAACCATGCATGACAAATCTACATTATTTTACCTATAATATTGCAGCTCTCTTGAATACTGATTATCCAAGACATAGATCACCGATATAAAATGACACTTCTGAAATAATGTAGCTTAAACAGACAATCTAAAACTTTTTTTGCATCCAATATGGATCTGATAATGAAATAAATACATCCCATCTTTGACTCATCGCAGTGTGACTTAGCAGTGTTGAGAGGTAACATTGCATCAGCAGTATTCCGGCAGGTAAATAACAGAGCCTGACTACCTCACTTTCTGCTCTGCTGGGGGGAGGAGATAAGGACACTTGCTGTAGCTCAGCTGATAAAGGAGAAAGCAATGTCAAGAGTTGGCTGCTGTGTAAAATGTGATTATCTATCTATCTATCTATCTATCTATCTATCTAGTAGTATATGTGCACAGAGTTTCTATCACAGCAATGCCACTATCACCGAACCTCACACATCACTAAAGCAGAGGCCCTAAGCCAGACCCCGAAAAATGAAAGAACAGAGAATATCGAACATCACTAATACGAGCCTTATCAGGGGAATGTGTGTAAGCATGGGATTACAAAATGCAAAAATTCCCTAATAACAGCAGTATTTACATTTGCTAGGGCCCTTGCACAATTCTAATTAAGAAAATGAATCCTTACCCTAAGGAAGTATGAACAGTACATGGAAACAAGTCTGGTCTGAAAATGTGTGTAAAACAACTAATAAAGTACAGGAAGCAGTGGATGAGAGAATCTCAAGGTTAAAGGTTAAAGAGTGAAGACTAAGTACTTTTAGCATAAAAAGCCATATGGTGAAGGCTGTACCTTGTTTTGTCGGTGTAGAGAAAGAGCCAAATCCCTGGGATGCGACACTCCCTGCACCAGTGCTGAAGGTCCCACTAGGTTTCTGCTCGCCAAAGGAGGCCTGTCCAAAACCAAAGGCCTTTGCACCACTACTCCCAAACAGACTGTTGGCACCTAGAGGAGAAAAAGGCAGATACATGTATCTTTCAAAAACAGTAACATGGGAGTTTGTTCCCAGTACTTTTGCTTTGTGTTTCCATTTGGCTTCCAGTATGGTAAAGGTATAACACTCAACAATATGTGAAAAGATGTTAGAATAAAAATAAAAATATCTCAACAATCTTGATTATTTTTTTGTATAGATTGTATTAGTTTACCTGTCTGAGCAGGCTGGCCAAACCCTCCGGTGGCAGCAGGGGTGCCAAATGGGTTCTTATTGGCAGCGTCTTCACTTGGTTTACCTCCCAGGCCACTAAAGAACCCTCCACCTGCAGCTGAGCCTGCTGTATTGGCTGAATTTGAACCAAACAGACTCCCACCAGATGATGGCTGTTGCTGCAAGAGATCCAGAAAAATTTTGACATTTTTAAACATTTTCAGACAATGTGATTCATGGGGTGCTCTATCAATCAAGATTTTAAAAAAATCAATGGATAATACCTGTCCAAATAAACTCCCAGTGCTAGATTGTTGGCCAAACACAGATGTGGCAGAAGAGCAGCCAAAAGCTGTAATGAGACAAAAGGAAAAATACAGTTAAGACTGAGACTGTCTTTATTAAATCTGCACTACTAGATGTTGTGTAGCCGTTGATGCCACATACATTTCCTTGTCACCAATATATATCTTCCCTTTCTTACCCAAGTGTAATAAAACAGAATGAGCTGACTGGAAACTCGAAACCCCTTTAAACTCTGTAGACAGGAGTGACAAGCTGCATCTAACTGCTGAGCTGTACATTAACATCAGCTGTCCACAGAGACACACATTCATACTGCATTGCATTGGGAATTTAAAGAATCTCTGGGAATGGGACAACTCCCCTCATGCCACCCTGCCCTACTCAGACACAACACCAACTGACTTAAGTTTGGCGATGCACATCATCAAGATGATGGCTTGTCACATTTGACTTCAATCAACACAATTTGTGCAAGCTGGTCAGCTGAAAGAGTTGATATTGTCATACAGCCTCCTTTACTTTCCACTGCCATACTACAATTCAGGGGATTCATTTGCTTAAACACTGTCAGACACGACTCAATTGTTTGTAGCTGTGTCGTTCTAATTAGAAAAAATAACACCACTTTGAGTGACAACATCATCTCTGGTGGACTTCTGAAATTGAAAAGAAAAGCACTACGGCAAGTTTTGGCAAAAGTTTTCAAAACTGTCAACCACATTCTTAAGAACTCTTTTCATGATGAAAAACACTGATGTTGTGAGATTTACAAAGTACAGATCTGATCAGGCGGTTAGGAGGTAATTATTCAAGCTTTCGTAATTTAAACTATGTAGTGACCAGGCATATTTTAATGGATCAGTATGGGCTAAATAAAAATAAGATTCTTTCTTCTGTGTTTTGTCTACCTCAGCCTGCTAGTGTTGCAGTGCTGTTGTCCTTTACCACAGCCTACAGTGCAAGCCTTTTGCTGCATATGTGACTGAGAACTAAGAATGTGTGAATGGGAAAAAGGGGTGTATCTGAGTGACAGATTTGAGATTAGGGTTGACATAACGCAGATTCACTAGGAATTACAATTAGCAAAGAGCAGTGTACAAAACATTCAGGTAGCAATTTCTCATTCATAGTCGGTGGTGCTTACAGCCGGGTGAAATGACGGCAGCGGTAGGTCATTGCAATTATCTGATATGCAGTGCTTGTTCTCTGAAAGCTGGTGTCTTTTGTGAGGGAAGAAGCTCTGTTCTGTGACACCAGCGTAGAATGGAGAGTGGACTGAGTATTTCTGTAGTTCTAACAAATCCAGCTGAGTGATACATCTTCCTTCTAGTGGATCATGTTCAGGTATCAAATTCTCCCAGTTAAACTTTTATTCATACCACACAAAGATGTAAGCTCATAAACTTTGTATATTTGAACCAGAACTTCAAGTATTTGGATCAAGAAACCCAGGTACGCAGTATTAAAGGACTCAGATATGGGCCAAAAAACACTTCGGGGGACATCCCTAATCTTTGAAACACACTTGCTATACTACTACTGTCAGATTTAATTACTCAGTGGAAAGAAATTAAACCATCAGCCACAAAGTCTTACTGTATTTTACCAGTGACCAGTAAGAAATCAAGTGCAGACTCCCACTCACCTGCTGGTTGTCCAAAGCTGAAACCTGTAGATGAGGATGTGGTGGTATTACTCCCAAACACAGTCCCTTGCCCAAATCCAGAGCTCTGGCCAAATGCTGGTGCTGTGCTTTGCCCAAACAGCCCTGAGCCAGTGCTGCTGGCTGTGTTGGCACTGCTTGTGCCGAAAGAGAAGGAACTGGCATTGCTAGGAGTAGAAGCACCAAAAAGTCCTCCTCCAGTAGTCGCACTGTTAGAAGTTGCTCCAAATGTTGACTGGCCAAAAGAGAAGCTACTGGCTGTTCCAGTGTTGCCGGCAGGCTGGCCAAAGCCACTCACCTGGCCAAATACGGACTTGCCAAAACCAGTTCCAGTTGATGTACCAAACCCAGCTGAGCCAAATGTAGTTGATACTGGGGCTGCGGGGGCTGTGGGGGCTGCGGGGGCTGAAGGAGCTGAGGACGCTGGAGGTGCAGCAGGTTGCCCAAACACACTAGCGGCAGTAGTAGTAGTGTTAGCAACAGTATGGGTGGGAGTGGTGGCTGCAGGCACAGCTGTGCTGATAACTGGTGTAACTCCAAGGGAACTACTGTCTGTTACTGCAAGGGCAGGCTGAGTAAAAATGGAACCTGGTTTGTCAGAACTGGGCACCTGGAATGCTGCTGGAGCTACCTGAGAGACAGGTACTACAGCAGGGGTGGCAGCAGCTGAAGTGGGTGCAGGAACAGGGGTGGTGGTGCTGTCTGGGGTGAGATTAAATGTAGGAGCCGCACTGGCTGGTGTTGCAGGGTTTGCTTCAGTTGGGGCGGTGATTGAGGTGGGAGGGTCTGGGGTAGGGGCAGCTGTTGCCAAAGGAGGTGTGTATATTGGTGGGGTAACTGTGGCTGCTGTGGTTTCTGTGGCGGCAGAATCCGCTGCGGGCTCAGGTATTGCTAGAGGAGTGGTGCTCTCTACACGTGGTTCAGTAGCATGTTCTTTTTCAGGAGGCGGTGTGGGTTCAGAAGGTTGTGGGGGCACCTTTGGTTCCTCTGATGAGTCTGAAGAAGCTCCGAGAAGACTACTGAAAGATGTAGGTAATGTTGGGGCAATTGAGCTAGATTGGGGAACAGAAACGGCTGGCTTGGGATTTGATTCAGGAGGCTTGAACAAACTGCCCGACACTGCACCCTTGGACAAGTCTGCTCCTGTAGAATCTTCTGCAGACTTTTGGAGTATTGCACCAAAGCTAAACTGTGCTGCTCCTTTGCCCATACCAAGTCCAGTTTCCCCAAAGCCAAATGAAGCAGCAGCAGGTTTAATGGATGAATCTTTAGCTTCTTCTCCTGGGCCCACACGTAGTCCAGAGAAAATGCCAAGAGTTTCTCCTCCAACAGTCTTAGGGGGCTGTGGCTCTAACCTAAGGGCAGTCGTGGTGGAGGTGAGCTTGTCTCCTGATGTGTTTGGAGGAAGGGTGGGAGACCCAGAGTCAAGAGCAGTGGAGAATGAATCCTCTCCAGTCTGGCCAAACATCATCTTGCCATTTCCACCAAAGGCGAATTTATTCACATCCTTCACTGGAGAAATATAAGGACAAAGAACATATCAGAATATCACAAAGGTGTGTATGTTTGACAACATCCTCCGCCAATCTGATACCAAGCTGCTCTATTGTTTTTACCTTGTGATATTCCAGCTCCCTGTGTAACTGAAGCAAAACTGAAGCCTGAAGACCTGCAAAAGAACAGTCAAGTCAAAATGAAACAACAGTGAGAGCATCTTAAGATTCTGTAATGTGACAAATCTCGGAGCGTTGTTAGATTATGAGTTGGGGGCAGAGGGAGAAATTAATAAAATAGACCTCAACCACACTCTTACACAAGTACACGACCAATAGCTCCAAAGACCCAAAAGCCAATTATGCTTTTTTATATGATGGGATGTGTTGTTGGTTGGTTGCCCCAAATTACATTTGAATGGACAAATAAATTGATGTATACACCCCCAAGTACAGGATGACTCATCAAAAATGTTTCAAGCTTTTATAGGAAAAGAGAGGGATTATGATTTTATTTTAACCATAATATACAGAATGGTTCTTTCATTTTCATAAGTTTACTCACCCTGATGCAAAGGAAAACCCTTTGCTGGTAATTTGCTCTGCTGAGCTACCAGAAGGCACAGAAACATCTGCTTTGGGTGACTGACCTGAAGGACAAAAAAAAAAAAAAGTGTCAAGATAAAATGTCAGGATTTGGATATGGTCAAGATTCATAAGCAATGTTCTGCACTGCCATTTTGTTTATGTGTAACCAAATCTGGTACAAAACGTATTTATGCAAGTATACATAACCAGTGCTTACCAAACACGAAGCTTCCCTGTGTGGTGGTTGTACTTTCAGAGGACATCTTCTGGATACCTAAGGCAGGATTCTGCACGGACAGTTTTAAATAGGCAGCGGCTATTACAACTCAATTATGCAAAGCCTTAATAGAGAAAAACACTATACATTTATTATGTGTATTACAAAAGAAATCATTATGAAGCTTCCTTTGAAAACACTGCTAGCGGTTACAGTGCAGGTGCAGTAAACTGTAATCTTAACGCAGTGGTAGAGAAAAAAATGTGTGTACACACACGTGGCTGGAGATCAGTATGTTCAGGTCAGTCCCAATAAAATGAACTTGGGCCTGAACAGTGACGAAGGTTTGGGTGAGGAGTTCCCCTGTCACCCAACTGCAATTTATTACATCAACATAGGAGGGAGCTGGGACATTTCTCACCCATGCAGTTAATGGTTCGTCTCCACACGCAAAGCTGTCAGCATTCTGTGAATTTCCGCAAGTTGAATGTTCTTTAAAGTTACGAAGAGAGGGACACGAACACTGAATTTGCTTGATTTTAAGAACCACCATTGCAACTCTATTGGAAATCTCAGAATGCCATGTTTTCATATTTCTCTAAACTAATGAATCTGTTTATCAGAGAAGCAGATCAGGTGTTTTTTAAGCGTAGACTATTTGGTTGGGTGTATCTGATGGGGCAAAGAAATTATATAGATTTATCTATTTTGACATGGCAGACATTCTTTCTTCTTTTTTTTCTTTTCATGCATGTGAGTTGTGAGCAATTAAAAATGCATTTTGCAAACTATTTAAAAGGATAACATGTCACTTAAGTGATAGTTATATAGAGACATAGCTGTGTGGATGAACAAATAAATGAAAAGATGAGAGCTTGGAGTGATGGACAGATATGGTACGTACTCGTTTGGCCTGGTTGGAAGAAACTGCAAAGACTTGACCTGCTTGATCTGGTACTGATGAACTGGGAAAGAGAGAAGAAGAGGGAGAGGAGAGTGTTTTTAATCCATCTACACAAACAAATATAACAAACATGTCACATTTTAGTGAATGAGGGGTTCATGTTTAATAAAATTAGGTGTCCATGCAGGCATCCTGCTACCAAATATTTTCTTTGTGTAGGGCTGGATAAGCAGCATACATTTTTGAACATTTTAAGATTTTGTTTGCGAAAAAGAAAATATACAAATTGGTTATCTGTATCGAGCTGGGAATCGTTTGAAGAAATGTCTGCACTGTGACCATTTGACAGTGATAAAGAGTATGTTAGTGTGGAATCTGGGAAAAGCCCACTTTCGTAATCATCTTACTCTCACAATGCCTTGCTTTTCTGGTTTGTTATTGTGAGCAGGCTTTATTTGGGAAAAGCCCCAAGGAGGGATGGCCTGACGAAATATCAAGCACAAAACTGGAGCACAGTCCAGTGAGGCAGAAAGAGTAAGGTGTAGGAGGCAGGAAGGGGCATAACAAGAGTGTGTGAATCATGGAGGGAATAAAGAGCCTAATAAAAGACATGAGGAACAGGAAGTGAAGATGATAATGATATGAAAAGAGACAATTTTTTTCCCCCAATTCTCCAGCATACTGGTTTTTAAACATCATAGTCATTGTTTCATTCAAAATCCAGTGTGCTGGAGTAGAGCCACAACAATAAAATACAGATCATAGCTGTAAAACTTAACAGAATGGACTGTATATGGCATAGACGTAATCATACACAAGACATTAACATAAATGAGGTTTAAAAAAGGGAAGGAAATAAGAATATAGAGATGTAATGCTTGAAAAAAACATGCTGGGATGCAAATGTAAAACATCCTTAAAGGCAGCTGGCCTCTGCCAGTCGTGTGCATTGGCTAAGATTAGTCAGTGACCTGATAAATCTATACAGAGGAGACACACTCAAAACAAACACTGGACCCCTGGAGGAGTTATAGTGACAGACTGTCTACTCATTGTATCAGAAATAGATCCAAGTGGGTGCAGGCATGATGTAATTCCATAAATATGTTTAATCTATCTATCTATCTATCTATCTATCTATCTATCTATCCATCCATTAGATATATAAGACAAAAAATAATTAAAAAATCTATTAACACCAATGAGAAAGTGTATAAAATGGGAAATGGCAAAATGCTAAATAGCTTCATCTGCCAGGTAAATTAAAATGTGACCTGTACCAAAAGGTCTCCATTCATATTCAAAGTGAATTGCATGAAAACCAAAGCAAATCTATTGACAAAGGGGCTAACAGTGAAAATGTGTAATCAGTCAGTGCCTACAAACAAAAATATTGCAGAATTGTTATAGCTATTCTGCAAATAATACAATGAAATAGTATAATCCTACTACCCTTCCAGTGCCTGACTAAGTACCAGTTTTCTGTATTGCTTAGAAATTACATTAGGCTTAGTGATATCAATACCATGGAATAAAGCCATATCCAGAGCAGAAAACTACATACACCATAAAACCCTTGGACGTATTCCTTCTAAAGGTTAACGTTACTTGTTGTCAAATTATTGTACACCATTTTCACAATTCTGCACCAAATGTATCAATTCATAAAAAATAAAAAAAAATGATGAGAAAGGTGTGCTGAATGCATACTGTGTCTGCCATTATATGTTTTCTGAGGCAGATTACACAAATCTCTCTCTCTCCCTCTCTCTCTCTTCCCCCCCCTGGAAAAAGGTCTTACAACAGGAATTTCATAACATAATTAACTCAAAAAAAAGGTTTCTACATCATTTTTGGTTTTTACCTGATTATACTGGGAACTGGCACAGGAGGCCCTTTGTCCTTGAGCTCCTGGACATTGACCACCTGAGGAACAGTCTTCAAAGTTGACTCTGTCAAGGAAGTACTGACAACAGCTGGAACACACACCAACGCATACGTGAGCAATTCACACACAGAGATGTAAATACACACCAATGTTTATATTAAAAAAGGAACATACCAGACAGGTGTATTTAAATGAATTGAATGTTTCCATAGTGATTTGAGCCTGGTTTGAATTATACTTAAACTATCAGTTTAGTATGCAAGTCTCGAATATGAAGGGGTGCTGAGCTGGGACAAAAGGCTACCTGTTTCACATTATTTGGTCTGGAAGTCTGTGTCTCCCCCTGGTGAATTACAGTGGGTATGGCAATACAATATTATAACCAGCTTCTTATACACAGTGTTGCCCATAACAACTTAACACATCTTCACTACCATTTAAAAGTAAACAAATAAATAATTATTTTCAATTGCAGTCAAAGGCTGGTGACTTCTTCCTACCTGTCTTCTGATTGGCCATCTGTCTGCGTAGAGCTGCAGTGCCCGCAGCCTGCTGTGCCGGGACGGTGACAGGGATGGTCCTCTCAGTTGGTGGGGCTCCATGTTTTACTGTCTTTGTGGCAAGAGCAGTGCTATCAGCCCCGCTGAGGTTGATTTTATTGGTAGGAACTGAAATATCAATACAGTGAGCAACATTTATGAAACAAAGTATGTCTACTGGGGTTTAGCACTTTGTGTTTCATATGGCATTTAAAAGCAGTGATCTTGTGCCTTTGAATGCCAAACAACTGAATGTAGCATTGCATCTTTGACGAATAGTTTATACAATTCACTCACCAGGGTTGGCAATTGGGCTAAGTCCAAAGCCCATACCCGGTACTGAGTGGATTTTGGTTAAAGGGGTGGACTGGATGGCCCCGAAGCCAGGCTGGATAGAAGGGGTCCTCACGACTGTGGGGTGGCGGGGGGTAGACAATGCTTGAGGAATGACAGTCACTGGAACAGGTTCTGGCTGTAGTTCCTCCTCCTCCAGCTCCAAGTGAACCGGGTGAGGCTCCAGGGACTGGGACAGGGAGGACGTGGAGCTCACATCATCCAAGTCTTCATAGTATTTAGGTGAAAGGAAGGCTGACCGAGACAGGTTGGCTGGAAGAGAATAGATGAAGAACATTTAAATCACCATTACATGTGGTATATCTGTGCCATGGTGATGGTGATTTTTTTTTTTTTTTTTTTTTTTAATCTCTTTACATTAATAGAACAGTCTAAATGTTGGGAAGAATATTTACTTAAATAGTGTTGTTCAAAAAGAGTAGGCCTTCTCTTTTTGACTATTATTGGATTCCCTTTGAGAGTTTATGGTAAAGCTAAACTACATTTGTAAACTTTCATGCAACCACAAATTTCTTGTCAGTAAACCAAATTTACACAAGAAAAATCAATAGGTTTCCACCTCCTAATATATGAGAGCAATCCCTGTTAAATTAGTTTGAGCAGGATGTGTGTACCTGGTGCAGTAGAGCGGACAGGAGGCATCTGTCCCTTTGAGAGGAAATTTCGCAACTGGGACTGTTTCACTGGGGATATCTTGGCTGCTGGAGAAACATCTATAGTTAGCATATATAATTAAGAAACATAATATCCTTTATTATTTTTCCTATCAAATATATGAAGATTGATACCTGGAGATTTGGATTTGGCCTTAGGAGGGCTGGAGTCCAGCCTGGCTTTCAGGAGTGTGTCACGTAAGCTTTCAAGCTCGCTTTCCAAACTGTAATAAAACACAGACACAAGTTGTTCAAATTGCAAACTACAAAACATTCTCTAAAAGCCATTTGTACCGATGCACAAAATTAGAAACTAATGTTAATATCCTATAAAGGATGCTACACTGAAAGAAATGAGTGCAATCAGTGTCTTATTTATGGACTGCAGTCACTATATTGTTAGTTATTATGCTACGCCATTTAATTTTTCAAAAAGTGCTCTAGATTCATTTTGTAGCCCATTTAAGTCAAGGTTAACTTGAAATATGAAGTCTCTATTTCCCAAACCTACTCGGCAGTCTCCCTTCTCAAAACAAAGTAAAAAATCTACAAAATGTAATACTCATTTATAGTTTCTTCACATTCTAATCCACTTTCTTTGCCAGCTCCTACCCAGATGTTGGTGCTGTAGCAGTACTGGGGTTTATAGTTGGAGCAGCAGTCTTGTTGTAGAGGCGCAGTGAAGTGAGTTCCTTAACCAACTGGTCCAATCTGTTCTTCTGCTGGTTGATAATGTACAGGTTGTTGGCCAGTGTGGTGAACAAACCCTCACGCCCTGGCACAACCATGTGTCTGCGAAGAAGATAATTATTTCAAATGATACTTAAAACCAAATATTTTCTGCATCAAATACTCCCATAGCTGGTCTTTAGTGCTTACTTCAGCTTTTTCTTCTTCTCCAGGTGTTTCTCCCATTCCACATCCAACACATCATTGACATCCTCCACAGCAAATGTAACATACTGGTACAGCCTGCGAATCTCCTGAATAAAAAGGAAAAAATTAAAAAGAATTGACAAAATGCTATGAGTATGCAGGTGATTCATGTAGAGGCTTGAGATAGTATCCATTCATGCAAACATAATTTATCTTTCTCCTGCTTTTCACCTTGAGCTGTTCCTCACTGCGTGGATCCAGAGGTTTTTTGTACAGCAGCTGTCTGTAATTTCTGTCTCTGCCCAGCTCACTCTGGGCTTTGGCTTCTTCTGCCCCAGCAAAGCCCTCCAGCAAGGTGGTCTTTAGTGTACCAATATCTCCATGGAGAGACTGTGAATCATAAAAAGAAAGAAAAAAGAAAAAGGTTGAAAGAGAATAGCAATCCCATAATAATAATTGTATCCCTTAGTCACAAGTAGGGAAGATGGCACACATGATAGTGTTTTTGTTTATCATAACATTGTACATTTATGACAGTGATTTTGTTAAGACCATTGCATTCAGTCAGCCCAAGCATTATCTGACTATCATAGTCTTACCTCAGTAGTTTCCTTGATCTCCAGGGTGAAAATATGAAGGTCCTCCGACTCCTTCCTCAACTCCTTCATCTCATCATTGGTGCCAACCTTGAAGTCTGCTCTTGCGCTTCGTGCTTTAAGGTCATCTAACTCCTTCTGGAAGTGTGCAATCTAAAGACGAGTAAAAGACATGCTTAGTTATTTGTAAATCCTTCATTGAGTTTTTATGTAGTCCTTCCTAAATTCTTAGTAACTACTACACTAGCAAGTTTCATAATAGTGATTAACTAAATTGGGTGGCGCCACTAAGAAAGACATTAACACCTTAGCTATTAGAAATGCATATATGTATATTGATTTCCAGTATATATGTATTTAAATGTGTAAATCTGTTGCTAACCTTGCAAACACGAAGGATATATTAAACTTAAAAAACAATCTGATATATCTATCTATAAAGCAAGAAATCTCTGTCTGTGTGTGTGTGTGTGTGTGTGTGTGTGTGTGTCTGTGTGTGACTCAAATATCTCTGCAGATCAGGATCAGACTGACCTGTTATTTCACTTGTTGCAGGTAAACGCAGAAAAAGAAATTGTTGCAGGAAGTGTTCAAATCGGAGAGTAGTGTGTGAAGACATGGACATTTTTGAGGGGGAAATAAACTTTTTTTTTCGTCGTGAAGGCATTATCTCCGTGATCGATTATTCTGGGCTTTCGGTGAAGTGAGCGGTGGAAAAACAGGTAGGCGACAGTACTGTTTTGTACGGTTTCTGCACAACGTATGAGTTGAAAAGGCATGTTGTTGTCACGTAAGGGCCCTGATCATGTGGCACAGACATTTTAATTGCATTTTGTGTCTGTTAAGAGGAGCAAAGGGCACTCTTTAGGATATACCCCCAAGAAGTGTATTATAACTAACTGGGAGCTCTGGCCATTAGCTGCAGGATCTCCAGTTTGCTAGAACCAATTCTGGTCGTTGTTTTTCCTATCGACAGTACTCTGTGACCTCTAGTGATCAAGACTAGGGTAATAATCTGACGAAGTTCCCCTTTAAGAGTAAGTGGGAAATAGCCGATTAAGCTAACCTAATTGATGTTATTCGGCCATTTAGTCTGACAATATTTAAGTTTATAATCTGAGGTATACTTATGTTTTTCATGAAATGTATTTAAACGTCTAGATATGTCGACCATATTTCACCATATGTATTTTTATTTTATTCTCCAATCTGAAAAGCTCAGTTAGCTGGATGTAAATATTTAGTAACTAAGTTCATTTCTACATGGTAACTGCTTTTTGTGGTTCAACCCGTGTTAATTCAGCGATGCGTAAAACTCCACTTAGAAAACACTTGCGTTATAACTAGCCTTGAAGAGTTATCATACAATTTTACAAGTAAAACCTAGAAACCTGGTGTATTAGTCATGAGCATCCAGTTGGCATTTTGCTTCATTTGGTTTGAGCTATGAGACCCTCAATTTTTCACAACATCACCAATTAAAAGTGGTACAAAGGTACTCCAGTGGGGTCTGGATGATGTGTCTCACCTCCTCCAGTATACCAGCCATAATGGGATCAGAGTCTTTCTTTTGCTGTAGCTGCTTCTCCAGGGCCTTCACACTAACAGCTGCCTGCAACGAGAAGTGATAAAGTAAGAAACAGTCACCGACAAATACACACAACCTATATTAAAGTTTGGACAAAAAAAATAAAATAAAAACGCAAGAATTTCTGTAATCTAACTTTAATGCTAATATAACACTGCACTTTCCTTCTGCCACCAACAGTTGGTTTCAGTTTAACATTCTGTTGCTAGTAGCAACAACTACCAGCACAGTTCCATAGCAGTTGCAATTCAACTGACATTCCACCATTTTGTTAGATCTGGGGCCAAATTATTATTGCGTCTTCTATTTTTCTCCCCCAGTGCCCTTGTTGAAGTATTGTCATTGGGTACTCTTTTTATCGTTCAGCTGTTCTGGGATTTGTTACTTTTTCTGTGATCAGTTTACTGCTTACAAAGCTAACCAATGGGCTAACTGTTGATATTATGTATTGTATCCTTTTTACTTTTACTCTCGTGGACTGGATGTTTCCTAGATTAATTACTGTGGTGTACTTCCTATGGGGACTGAATGTTTTTTAATTACTTGTGATACACTGTTTCTTAATGCAGTGTGGAAAAATGTTGCTAATTTGACAGTTTTGTGAATCCAGTTTACTTATTACTGCAGCTAATCCATTCATATTTTTAGTCTTTTGTTTAGCACACTGTATAGCTAACTGTGCACCAACATGCATATTTGGGCATATTTATCTATTTAACTTTAGTATTCTCCACACAAAATATTAAGCCAAAGTTGCATGAAAAGGGGTTAAGATGATGAAACTTCAGAGTAGAATAAAAAATAAATAGCAACACTGTCTTACTGAATATTTTTATGATCCTTAGAAATCTAGGGGAGGTTGAATGCTCTGTCCCTTCAGTGGTTCTCTAGGATTATAATGTGTTTATCTTTTGGCATATTGTAGAGCAAAACATCAACAAAACCAGACAGGACCTGTGGAGTTTGGACACGGCCCTGGGCAGCAGGAGAAGGCTTCTGGATGACTGTGGGTGGTGTGCTGGTTTGAACTGGACGCACTGGGGCTGCAACACAACCAACAATATTAAAATCACAAGCCAAAGCATGAGCACAAGGTATAATAGTCAAGGAACCAAGGATTTTCCTACCTAATACAGCTGGTGGTTTAGTGGTTGAGAGTGGAGGGGCGGTCAAACTACCAGAATTTGAGACAGCTGTTTTGGCCAGCGAGGAAGTTAATGAGGAAGACTGTGGTGTTGGTGCTGGGGGCTCCAATGTTGAAAATCTTGGGAAAGAGTATTTGTGTACATTATGTGTATAAGAACTTCAATGTCTCAAATGATTGGTGAAAAACAATGATTTACCTCTCATTTAGATTCAGTTTCACTGTTGGTGGTGATGGAGCAGCCAGGTTCTGGGGCGCTGGAGCTGCCATTGGTGACGGTTTGATGGAAGGGGTGAAAGTAAACCCTGAAGGTGCTGAGGGAGTGACGGAGGGAGGTTTGGAGGTAAAGGGGAAGCCCGTGGACCCTAAGCCAAAAGGTGTGGGTCCCATCAGGGGGAAGGCTGAAGGGGCAGAGGTGGCGCATGTAGTTGGGACAGAGAAAGTGAAACCTGACGATGAAGATGACGACACAGGAGCTGTGGGAACCATGCTGAATGGGGCAGCAGGGGCTGGAGTAAGACCGAGGTTTGAGAATGTTGCTGGGGCAGATGGGATGGAGGCAGCAATTTTGGGTAGTTGGGTGGCAGAAGAACCTGTGAACAGAAAATAAATTTGCTGTCATTTGATCTCATCACATGCTAGGCAAGTTTTGTCTTTAAGCAAAGATTGCTAATTCTAGATGCAACTTGATTAGCCTTAGGAGAGAAGAGAACCATTTTTCATGGTTAGACGCTCACAGCCAAATTTCTGTCAGACGGCAAAGGACTTTGCACAAATGTTATTGAGCCTCTTTCTGAATGAGTTTGGCTAAGTAAAAACACTGGTTTTATAGTTTCATAGAAAAGTAAACACTTTACAGTGTTTTTCACATAAAGTGAAAAGTGACTGAACAACAAATTATGAATTATTTAAAAAAATTCACAGAATTCCAACAAAGTAAAAAATCTAAAACATTGTAAGCATTTATAAATATCATTTTGCCCTCAAAAACTTGAAACCTTTCTGCTTTCATCACCACTACTACTGAAATACAACTCAAAACTCTGTAGGCCCTATTTGATTATGCAAAAGACCTCCAACCTTCATTGGTAGATTTAAGTTAAAAACTAAAATTTTATGCAGAATTAGTCTTGTTCCTTTAAGGCATGAGGGTAAGCTTAATGAGGGATGTATTTCGACATGTTTTCTTGACTGACAGCTCTCTCAAGATGACTATGAATAATTGTGCAGCCCTCTAAACAACATTTTAGACTAAAAAATACTGTATCTTGACTTCACTGGCTCTCTTACCTGGCTTGGGCAGTCTCTCCCCCTCCAAGGTGAGGGTAGTGGGGGCTGAGACCAGTTGCTTAACACCAGGGTTGAGGTTGAGGTTGAGCAGGGCAAATGGGCAGAGTAGTCCCTCCGTGGATAGCATTAGCATAGTGGGTGCTGGTGGCAAGGTCTTCTCATCCGCTTTGAGAGGGAGAAAAGATGGGGTACAGATAGAGGCAAAAGACATTTAGACAGAGAAATACTGTAGTCTGAATGATGTAGAGTAAAAGACACGCAACATTTTGAACAATCTCTATAGCTGTGTGGTAGGAACTTTTGTCTTAAGTCTATTAATTAAGAGCCACACACATTATGCAGAGTCTACATTATGCAGTAACAGACTTTTGTGAGAAATTTAGCATTCTGCACAGCTTTGTTCTTCCAAATAACACCACTGCACAAGGGATACAATAAACAGCAAGTGTCGTCTTCTCACTATGCTTGCTCTGTTCATGGTGACAAAATGCTGTTTGTCATTTAAATCTTGAAAGCGTGGAAGGCATTTGAGCACAAAAGACTGCATGTACGTTAGTGCACTACTTATCTCATTGACCTTGGCTCATTCCGCCCTCCAGTGGTTAAAATAAGTACCCAGTGTTCACTTTAGAAAGGCACACTGTAGTCGTGCGGAGACAACTGTCTTAAGATGCCTCATTTGGTAAAACAGTCCACTGCGTTCTTCTTCCTGCCAAACCCCCCAAACTCTTTCCTGCTCTTCACACCCACTTTTCTGCACTTTCCAAAATCACGCAGTGTGCTGTGGGCTGCAGACAAAAATGGCAAATCCAGTCTCAACCAACATTTAAATGATGAAACTGAGTATTCTCACCCGAAATTAAAGATGCATTAGTCAGAGTTGATACTAGTCATTTCAGATACGTCAAATAAGCAAACCGAACACTTCGTCCCCTTTGTTCTCTCTACAGCTATGTCTCATATCTAAAACTATTCCTCAAGTATAACTTTCACTGTCACCAGGGGAAGACAGTAGTAGCTGCTCTTTCTCAGTACATTTCAGTGTTTGATTAATTACCACTGACTCACCTCTCTGATATATACTGCATTTTGCAACTACAGTAAATTCCGTCCATGCACTGCATGTTTGCTTTTGACATTATGACAGTATATTAGCATCGGACTGACTGCAAAAATTCAAACCTATATCTAATACAAACACATACAGCAAAGCCACTCTATCTATCTATCTAGATAGATAGATAGATAGATAGATAGATAGATAGATAGATATAGTAAACACAGATTAGTATTATGTTTCAAGATATAAAGTGATCCTAAGTTATTGTGCATAAAATAAGCACACAATACAAATAACAAATGTTTAGTTTCATCAGTTAAGAAACTATAGTATGAAAGAAAGAGAAGCAAAGAGATAGAGGGTGAAAGAGAGAGCGAACAGAAGGGAGAGGCACACGGTAAACCTCATCAGCATTCTGCAACAGGATTGTCTGGGCTTTGTTGTTTGTTGTGGTCCTCTAGCTTGTCTGAGCCATTTTAATGAGTGCATTTTTTCTCCACAGATAACTCTCTCGTTACTCTTCCTTCACTTTCCCTATCTAATGTCTCACTTCGGATAAAGGTTTTGATCAGACTACAATCATATCAAAATGTTTCTCAAATTGCAGGGGGTTTTTTCTTGCTGGGGAGGGAGTTCTTAGAGTGAACGGGGAGAGATGTGACTAGACAGCAACACCAGCTCTACGTGAATGTCTGGCAGACTAGGCCATTTAAGATAAAACAGTGTACTGAGACGGTAGCTTATCACTATTCTTTACACATGCTGCAATAGAGCACTGCAGTGGATCCTGTATGCACAAAGAAGCCTGACAGATTTCAGCTTCATCTGATCATTAGGAGAGCGTTGGACATAAAATGTTTTGGAGCTTAAACAAAGACAATGAAATGCATTATAATAAACAATTACGATAACAACAACTATTATTAAATTCAGTACGTCAAGCTCCATCCTCTGCTCTTAAATATTCCAACAAACAACTTTGTATCGCAGAAAATCGTTTGTAAGAATCCAAAAAGACAAAGGGAGTTTTTTCAAAAAACAGTGAAACATATATCCATTTCAGTATGAAATAACTCCAAGCATGAATGTTCATTAAAACAGGCTTTTCGGGGTGGGCGGTATCACCGGTGGCAGATGGTGTACAAACCTGCCTAAACTGGTTTAATTTTCTCCTCACCGTCCATACTGCTATTTAACTATTTTCTCAAAGACCCAGTGGATTCAGTGAGCTTCAGTGCAGACATGCAACAACATTTATGATTAATAACGCTGTGAAAAGTGATATCCAAAAAACAAATAAATGGCAATAGCGAGTGGGAAAGATTTAATGTAATATCTTTTGACAACTGAAGTAGGAGATGTTGTCATTTCAGCTTGATTATGGCAGAGAATATGCTTGCAAATAGGGGCAATATGTCTAATATATTCTATCACAGTGTATGTGACTATATATTGTGATAGTGATCATATAACAACTTGGATAGAGTACATTTTCTGAATTCAGAAACCAGATGGCAGGGCCTGTTTTGGCTTATAACCTGAATTAAATACATGCCAAACCTATGCGAAAATGGTATAGAAAAAAATCTACCCCAGCTTTATGAAATAAATAAATAAATGAACTGCACCAAAGTGACTGTACATTGGGGTGAGCATTAAGCCAACTTCTCTTTTTACTGGAGTTCTGGCAGATATAACATCAGCATAACAATTCTCGAGCCACAACAATATTGATTAAAACAACATAATTGTGATAAAAAGGCATTTTACCTTTGCTCAAATGCTTAAAAAACTGTTTAAAAAATCCCCCTAGAAATCCCCCAAAATGTCTTAGAAGGTATAGCCTAAATTTTTTAAGTGCTAATGTTAAGTTGATAATTGACAAAAATTTAGCCACATTATGTAGATGTACAAATCTGGTCAGAAAGGTGAAGAGAGAAAGTACAAAGAGTAGAAAGAAGAAATTCACTTACTGATGTGGATCTCCTGCTGGCTGGTATAGTCTATTGCTACACCGAGGGGAAGAGTGTCTTCATTTGTCTCGGTCACTGGAAGCTCAGCCCTACTCGCATCCTCCAGGATCCAAAGCTCCCAGATCTAAAAAAAAAAAAAAAAAGAATAGACACCAATCTGTCTTGGTCATGACAGTCTACAGACATTTGGTGTGTTTTCCTCACACCATACACAAAGCATTCGAACAGTAAATTAAAGCTGAATAAATATGTGAAACAAACTTGAGCATAAGAACTGAAATCAATTGTAGCTTCGATAAAACCGAGACCCAAGATAACGCTGTTTGTTTTGCAGTACAATACAGTAAATTAACATTTCAGTAGATTCACATTTGTGTGACCTTTTTATATTTCATCTCAAACATTCAAAATGTCATGTTTTTCTTTCAGAACTACACTGATCTCATGGTTAACTTTTCTAATGGAACTGAATGTAATCCCTCAGAGAGACATCTTTAATGTACATCTATATTAAAACCAGTGTGTCATTTAATGTAAAGATTTCTATAACATTTTCAGCTTTTCACTTAATTGAGTACCTTGTCATCTTGTCTGGCTATAACGCTGACTTCAATGGAAGCTGCTGATGCCGCAAACACAAGGTCCCTGGAATGAAATAAACAATGAGGCAACACAACACATTACATTAATTTCAAATGACATTAAAAAAGAACAAACTTAAGAGTTTGAGGACATAAACAGTGCATTTAATCTCAACAGTGAACATGCTTTTGGGTGCCTACAATACCATCCATGCCTGTACAATGTTAGCATTCTTACCAGTCCTCTATGTGGCTGAGGAAGTAGTGGTGTTGTCTCTCAGTGCAGCTGCCATATACCGTGTCACTAAAGTGCAGGTACTTTGTATCTACCCTCTCATCCTTCTTCTACAAAAAAAAAATTAAATCACACTTTGTCACATTAATTTGCTCAAGGTACATTAACAAGATGGAACAACTGATAGAACTTTGGTATTGTGGAAGAATATTTAAGCATTTTACAAAAATAATGCCACTACATATACTGGTAAGTACGGTGTATAAGTACTGTTTGTGTGTATTAACACATTGACATCTAAATATCATATTATGTGACGCAGCTGATTTGAACATGCACATGTGACCCAAGTAGCTCTATGAAGCCAACAACTATAGCCTTATAGTGTATGGCTTTGTGGTCAGTCACATGAAGCATCCTGCTCAAATAAGAGCCCCTATGTAATTACAGAGCCACTACACAAAAATGTAAAACACCACACAGCGTTCAGCCTTAAAAGCCGTAATACAAAAATGACGGAGCATGTAATGCTAGATTAGTTGCTTCATTTGTTGTTGTGGCCATGTGGAGAAAATATCATCAAAAGGTGACATTCATGTGAATTTGAAAAGAATGATGATGATGATGATGATAAAAATCCTAATGGGATTAGGTGAATTCCGTGGACTACAGATGTAGGGCATACTCACAGGAAGGGAAATCAACACTAGATCAGGAGGGGTCTCAAGCGACCCATCAGCAGCAGCATATACCACTGCAAACACAAAAGTTCTCAGCCACAGCACATCCAGAACTGTGAGAGATAACAGGAAAGAGAGGCGTTAGCCACAGATGGGACTTAAACAGTAATGAAAGTCAAATGCAAGTAACTAAGAAAATGTAATATATTGTCATTATATGCTATTAATAACCCAGCCAAGTATATGGGGGTACAACACAGATCTCATTTAATTTTATAGGTACGGGATTCCCCTTACCTTTGACAGGTTCGTCAGAGGTGTAGAAGTGTGGACATGGGATAACTTTCTTTTCTTCTAGTGCCTTTTTAGCAGAGGAGAAAAACAGTTATTCACCTCATCATCATCATTGATTGCAGCCTCTCTTATGGAGCAGTAAGTGTTTACATTTTAATGACAGTAAATTAGGTTCACTTACTGGGGTATACTGACTGACGGTGGCATTCATTTTTCCTGCAGCAACTTGTTTTCCTTTTGGACTCCAGCAAACTGTGTGAAACAAAGTACATTAACTACAATTAAGCCCCAATAGAGATATGGAGTGTAGACAATCTCAGCTATTATGTTTAGAGTCTCACTCACTGCACGTAATGCCACTTGAAGCAGGTAGCTCGGCCAGCACTCTGACACTATCAGCAACCTCCAAAATCTGCATACTGCCATCAGACATACAGGCAGCCAACATGGATGTATGAGCAGGATTCCACTTCAGGTCCTGCACTAAAGTGCCAGTGGGTACTGGTGGCAGCCGTGATGCAAAGGGCAACTTTTGTGGTCTTGCCTGGAATGGTAAAAAAAATAAATCAATCAACTGGTCAAATGCATTTAATAATTAAATATACAGGCAAGTAATAAAACTGAAAATTGTGATTCTGGGAATCTTGATTTTATTTCCATAAAATAACTAATAATATATTAGAGGAAATGTACAAACAGTATGTTTATAAAGGTCACAATAAAAAGGTAGATTAATTTTTTGGGAGACTTTATGGTAAAATTAATTGTAAGGTAGTAAAAATAATTGCACCTGCTGCTGTTCATACTGGATAGCTCCAATTAAGAATATGGCACATTTTTATTAGAACAGATGGAGTAATTTCCCTGTAGTCATTGTTTGTTTTTTTTGGCCAGTCACCCTCATTGGACAATAATTTGGCACATTAATTACACTGACTAAAGTAGTCACCTTGTTCATGAAGGTGCGGACATCATAGAATGTGAGGGACAAACCCGTCTCCTCAGACACGCCGCATACTGACAACGTAAGTTCATCACAACTGAGAGCCAAGTGGTGCAGAGCCAGTTCCACAGTCACCTCCGCCAATGCTGGAACCCCCTCGACTTGAGCAAAGAGGACAATTGAAGTGAATTGTGAGAAACAGACAAGAATGGAAATGAAGCTAACAATGTATTCTTAGTATCTGTGAACTACAGGACAATGTAGTGCAAACCTGAATGGATATATTCAACATATCAAACCTGTATGGTCATATTCATACCTACTACGTTGGAGGTGCCTTCAACTTTATCAGCAGCCAGGATGTCTTGAGTTTGGTAAACTTTGAATGTTCTGTCCAGCCCAACAAAAGTTAAACCAAATTTGTTTGAGACGGAAAGCAGACTTGATCTTTCTTTTGGCAAATCTTCAGCAGGCTCAAAAACTCTCGTTTTCTTCATCTGACGGAACTGAAAATCCTGAAACAGACAAACAAGCATTGCTTGTAACTTGAGGGTAACTCAATGTGTGTGTGGGAGAAATATATGGTTCTAGTTAAATAACGGAAAACTTAAACTAAACCATACCTCCTTCTACAAAGAAAAACAATAATACACTGTAAACTTGCTGGACAACATGGCTTACAGTATGACCTAATAGCCCTTTAAACAACAATTTAATAGCTTTCAATTTGACTAATTTATTAACACCACAAGTACGCAGAGGCTGTAATGAAAGTTAAAATCTTGGGCAATGGCTAACATGCCGCGTTAGCTAATGATGCTAAGTCGGGTTGGTAACGTTATACAGAATTTATATAAAGTACCAAGTATTTTATTTAACTTTATTTCACACACTAGATTATAAATGAGTTGCCTCACTAACTTCAAGTTAGCCATCAACTCTCAGGGAGCACATCTGATGCAGCATTTATATGCTAATAGCTACCGTGCTAGCGCGAGATAAAAGTTTCTGTAGCACCTTTTTTTTTTTCTTGTGAGACTTTTAACCCAAACCTCTAAGCAAAATGTTACCTAAGTTAATAACACGGCTCTGTAAATGCTTTTGGGTTAGGGTTAACTAAACAGAAACATTAAACCCCGACCATCTAGCTAACCAGCTAAGCTAGCCAGAACCATTAAAAGTGAATGGACACACTGCTAGCAAACATTAGCTTGCAAATGCAAAACCTGTCAACACAACTTGGATAACAGATAACAGATAACATACCTTCATTTCCCTCTCCGGAGGGGAGTCTGTGTCGTCGCTCATTTCGACGGACAGGAGCTGTAGCCTTTCTAGCCGACGTGGTGTCTTCGTTTATTCCTCTCTGGTTTGTATTTGAGACGAATAATCTGGTGAGCCACATTAGTTTAGTCTGTCAGGAAAGCGAAACACACACGCCGCGCGATTTTACCGTAAAATAAACGTCATAGTTACGTAGCTAGGATGACAAGTAGATACCCGAGCACCGCGAGAGCACAACACTGAATCTATACACTAACCTCCTTTACAAAATGGGTACTGTGTATTTTGGAATAATTGAGGATTGCATTCAAAGATAAACACACACACACACACACACACAAAACATATTAAGCTCCAAAGCATATTTAAAAAAAATACATGATGGAGTATGACTGTATGAAGAAATGGGCTTTCCATTAACCACTTCTCCAAAAACACCACTTACTCCTCACTCTACTTCTCCAATCCTGCTGGGATTAATGCCAGTCTAATAATAAACTAGACCAGTGGCACAGCACAAGAATTCTGGACCCTCTACATAGGCCCATCCCCGCATCCACAGTTATTCATTTCAGTATCTTTGTGGGCCCTCCTCATCCTCAGTCCATTTTCACCCCTGAACACGAGGACATTGAGTCAAAATCAGAAATATATTATTATATATTATATATTTATTATTATTATAGTACATATTTATATATGTAACACAATATATATAGAATTGAAATGTATATATACATATAAGTAAAAAATAAAAAATAAAAATGGAAATATAATAAGAGCCTAAAATACGACAGGAGCAACTGTAACAGGTAGCATGCACAGTTGTTGCATGTGCAGTCTTATAGCATATAACAAATAAAATGATAAAATAGGTCTTATAAGGTTAAATAGAAAAATACTGCTGCTTTCTTGTTTGCTGATAACTATAAAATATATTTGTATTGTTTGATAAATGCTACCATTCATCCCCACCCCCCTTTTAATCATTAACAAATCACCTACTGAATATAAATGTACTATTCTGTGCAAATAAAAATAAATCTAAATTTAGGATAATTCTGGTATCACTAACGGTGGTGTCCCTTTTTTTAATCATTCAACATTTATATTTGACTACTTTCAAGAGATCATTAATGAAGGACTAAGATGCCTTTACTTCTGTATGTTTTGTAAGGTCAGTGTATTCTTTCATTGTTTTCTATATTTCTTCTTAGAGACCTTTTTGAACACAAACTTCTCACACTAAAGTAATATGGATTGATTTCAAAATCAAATTAGAAATCTCAGTTTCCCAGACATATTCCTTAAGGTTTTCATACCACCAAAGAGATTGTTTGCAAATTATTGGTTTTCAAGTTTGAGACCTGTTAAGTCTGCAGTTTTTCCATGAAATAAAACACATGAAATAAGACACATGCTGTCTGTCAGGTAACTCAGTGGTCCCAAAGGCAAGATATTGAATGCTCCAATTGTTTTTGAGGGAATTCCAAGAAATAACTTTGTGACATACAAACAGAGACAAAAGAAAGAGGAGGAACCATATGTGGTGAAGTAAGGACTTTTATTAGAAAGCAGATTTTTCTGTATTGCATTTAAAGAAATCAGGTACTCTTGGACTACACAATTGAAACTGGTGATGGCAAATACCATGATGGGAATGAAAGGTAGATTCTTATGCAACATCAAAAGTGGCAACTTGCATTTCTGTCGTATATATTATCGATGCTTGAGTCAGAAGGCGCATAAACATTTTAACATTTTTCATTTGAAACATAAAGCAGTATCAACACTGATATTGTCCCATCCCAGTTTGCCTGGTCCAAGCCCTGTTGATAGTGAAGAACATTACCATGATCAAAGTGTAGGGTTGCATGATAAGATCCTCTTTTGTCATATGGACTGTCCATTGAGAGGTCACTAATAAGCCTAGACTGAGGACCAAGTTCGGCCCACGCTTACCAGAGCATTACAGATATGGACCATGTCAACATGGGACAGCTCTGTTCACGAAGCACCAAGGTATCAGTCAAATATCCGTCAGTCCTTGTTGCAGAGACACACACTTATAACCAAGAAGGCTGGAGTTAACATCACCATGTCGCCTCCACTCTGGAAAGTAAGCTAGCACAGACCAAAGCAAGCTGGAGAAAGACAAAGCAAACAGCAAGAGCACAGCAAGTCATGTCAGATCTCCCATAATGCACTTTGGGTCGCATCCCTACTCTGATTGTCAGCGCTCTAAACACATGGCTTTAAAAGTTGCGTTTTCTCCTCATTCGCCTAACTCCCGGTCACTCTGTTCTTATTTCTTTCACTTGACTAAGTAGTTGCTAAAGTGCTGGCATTATGTTCAAGGACACATACATACACACACAAACTTTTAGTGCATTTTTTCTGAGTCTGCTGAAGGTTTAAATGCACACTCAACTGGGTAGTAAGTCAATGTCGTCCACTTTTTATCACTATTTTGCCATCATTATCGTAATAGATGAAACCTTACCCAAACATTCAATAAAAGGCCAGGGTGTGTGATAAAAAGACAACCCTTCTCGTTGCAAGACTCCACAGTCTTTGTTTGCTAACAGTGACAATAGTTATTCAGCATAAAATACATGGTGCATAAAGATCAGAGGTTTCATTGGGTTGGAGTGAGTGTCTGAATGGCATGCATTTTATGATACAAGTGTCTCTTTGCATATAAATTTATTGTTTTCAGGATAAACCACTCAATGGAACAAAGACTACTGTGCCCATTAGTTTGACAGTAATGGGGGATGAACAGAGCACTATATAAGGTTTTAGAAAGTAAGGAACAATTTATTGGCAAATAAGTGTGAAAATATGTTCTTTTCAACCAACAATCCCATCCAATCTCTTATTTTGTAATTTTCAATGATCCTCTAGGTGAATGGCAAAAAAAATCTGTCACTGAATTATAAAAAAAATTCTTAACTACAGAGTTTGCTGTGAAGGAAACTTTCAATCAAAGATATAGAAATATACATAACATAACATACATTTAACAGGACCCTTTCTTTCAGCCACCTCAAATAGAGCTCATCTTCCCAAGCCATGACATTCTCTGAGTTTCTCAGTTTACAGTATAGTGCAACATTCATGTTCAAATTCACCCTGCACAAGAAAAAAAAAAAAAAAGACCCTAAGCAGAGGAGAAGCAAAAAAAAAAAAAAAGGTTGGGGCGTTTTTTGTTGGCCAGGTCAGAGTCGGACACATTTTGTAGTTAAGCAAACAAACTTTGAACAAACTGAAATGTGAATGCATCAGGGGAAATAAATGTAAAAAACTTTATGCAATGTGGGACTGTTTTGTGAGGAAGACTATTCCAAAGGGAAGTCCCTCAAAAACAGGGTTGACTACAATAGATATCATATATTTTTATATAGTTTTTTGGGTGGTCAGTCAATCATATAAATAGTGTGAGGATGTCAGTCCAGGGAATCCAGGTTGTTGCTGATTGGGTGCTGAATGCATCTTAGTGCAGTAAATTACAATTAATTCAACCTAACTGGGCTGGTCTTTAAAAAATGAGATGATGGCAAATATAAGAAAATGAGTGAATACATTTATTTTATTACATTATACTGAGCAAGGTTCTGAGGGGTCAATTTTGGCAGAATTATAACCTAAGTAAAGGGGGAAAAAAACAAAAAAAAAAGTCAATCTACCTTTGCAGGTACTTTATCTTATCGTATCTAGACATAAAAGTTGACATCACAACATCCACACCCACACAGTCACAGTCTAAGGCACTGCTCCAAACCCCTTTATCACTACAGTGGAGTATATCAAGGTTTCCCACCCTATATTATTTACTGCTTTGTTTTAATTGGACTTTATATCATTGTTTCTCTAACTTTAAGTGCTGGCCATGCACAATTCTGCCTATTCCAGAACAGAGCTTAGTAAAATGAAAAGCATAGACTTATTGTGCATGAAAATACAAAGACAGAAAAACAGAATAAACTTATATGTTATACTTACTGCACGGTTTAACAGTGGAGTGCACAGGTTTCAGATTTTGTGCGGCAGGCTGATTAAGTTGCATGCTATTTTGTTATCTAAAACAATAACTGTAAATTTGGTTTTATTCCAAAATTATATGCGCATACATTTTGGGAAGACTGTTACCTTGGTTTACAAAATCAGAAGTGCAGGTGATCCTCTCAAAAGTCCAGTAATTAAGGTAATGGCTCCAATAAACAACTGAATATCTTTATTTAATTTGTTTTACAAGAGCAACTTTAGGAACTTAAGCTTCATAATTTAAAAACTATAAACAAATAATTTGCTAAATATTGACGTATATATTTACAGAACAGTTCAGGATCTCTCAGTTTTGTGAACATTTCAACATTAGAGACATACATAACTGTCAAAGTATTTTATAAAATGAGGAGCACGCTGGGATAAGAATAGAATCAACAAAAAAAGTAATAAAAGCTCAAACTCTGCTCAGTTTTCTGTATATTAGATAAGTGCTCCCTGGTATTTACCACATTGGAAGACCTGTTCACATCAGTTTAAAAAATCACAAAATCACAAAATCTTTAGGTTAGAACATCACCCAGCCTCACAGTCAAATTATTATTATATTATGGCCCATATTTAAGTATACAATTGAGGAAAAAGTGAGCCATATAAAAATTTGAGTATATTCAATCAAGGCTTGAACCCCTTTGCCAAAGCAGTGCTACAGTTTACATTCATTCATCATCTCAGCCATTCTATCACGGCCCTGTTTTACCTATGGCAGATCACATTTCTTCCAAAAGAAAAAAAAAAAAAAACATACTGTAAACGTCTTTATTATTAGCTAGTGCAATTATAACCCTGTGTTTCTTGTGCAGGGCCATTTTAAAGCTTCCCCTAAAGAGTCTGAAACCAGATACATAGAACACAGACAAAGAATAACCTGGCCCTGGCCCAACCTTTCAAGTGGCACAGCACTGACGCATAAACAGACAGATTAAATATATCAGGGGCATATACTGTGTTTCTGCTTGGTTGTTAGTTTCTGCCATCAATTACTGCAGTGGAAAAAAAACCGATTCATTTGATTTTTCTTTCAAAAATGTTGGTGCCGTAAAATCTTTTTGGTTCGTTCCTTAATCTAAATTTGATGGTCGGAACTTGTGTTTAAGATGTGCTTTGACACTGATCAGGAAAACCCAGAAAACAGAGGAAAACATAACAGCATATCTCATAAAATCAATGGACAAAACAACAAAGGAAGGCTATTTTGACTGATTCCCTATGCGTGGCAGAAAGCATGAAAACAGATATCAATTTAAAAAAAAGAAAAAAAAAAGACAAATTTTCTCCTTCCAAACCCACAATCCTCTAATTAAAAGGACTTATCAGGGTGAGGTGGAGGAAATTTTCAGTCTTTAGTACAGTCACATTTTGCCAAACTCCTTAGTTTCCCACCCTTTAACCTTTTTTTTTTTTTTTTTGAGTGCAAATGCAATAAGCCAGCAGAAATTGCTCTTATAAGTTTTATTCAATAATTTACCCCCCAACCCCCTAGGAAAAAAAAGGAAAAACAAAAAAGGATGGAAGCAGGACTATGTAGTTTTGGTGCCAATCACACCACCACATCAAGGTGAAACAGTGCTTCTCTCCGACATGTTTCCTTCTACCACTCAGTGTAGTGCACTTCCTCTTACTACTCCATATAGTATCATTCCCTTCTACCCGTGGTGACAGCACGCTCCGTAGTTAAAAAAGAAAATCCAATCGATACTGTGTCAAACACAGTCAATCCTGGGTCACACCCAGGTCAGTTCTACCATGTGTCAGACTGAGATCAGATCCCAGTAAGACATGGGATAATAAGTCCTTTTGCGTATTAATGGCATATGTCGAGGCAACAGTAGCTGTTTTCTTATTTATATGCAGGTTTGTGGCTTTGTTGTTGTTTTCAATAATTCTCTGTATCCATTGTTTGTATTCATGCACGCAAGCTGTTGTGTTCTTGTTCATGTCTCTCTCTGTATCTCCAAGACACAATGATGTAAAATGACAAAACTTTCAAAGTTAAAAAGCATTGTTACATTATTTTTTTGTTTTGGAACAGTGGGTTTTTAATGCCTTGATGCAGATATTAAAGGCTAGTATCATAAGGGGAGAAATGTGTGCACATGTGTGAGTGTGTTTCTGTACGTGTGTGGTTGGGAGGGGCGGTCTGGAGCAGACACAGGCATCACATTGACAATCTAATTCAATATGTCATGGGCAAATATGCATGAAAAAACAACTCCATGTGATTATTTGTTAGATTCTGGAGATGTGTTTAGGTTTTGCAGAAAAACCTCTCCTCAACTTTATCATAAAAATAACGCGCTGTTTTAACAGAAAAGAAACCTGTTCTGTTGTGTAGTTGTAATGGTTGTAATACAGTACTTGACCTTTAACCATACTGCAGTCTTTGTTTTTGTTATATATTCATACATTATTTATCATACAACAATATGATGTAAAGTGGTCAAACACGGCAAAATAAGCTGCTTTTTAAGTGAGCTGTGTTTCTCTCATCTGTTTTTTCCCAAGGTTACATGGGTTATTTTCAGATGCAGCTTTCCAAGAAAACGGAATCATTTTACAAACCATTATACCACACTCCATAAACTGCCAGCAAAGCAGCTGTTAGTTTTTGTATTGCACTGAAATGATGAATCATTACAGCCATTTGTTCTGCTATCAGGTCTTTGTAATATGGCTGCGGGTGCCGCAATACTGAGTAAATACAGAATATACGAAGAAAGGGTGGAGCAGAAGGGACTGATTTTCTCAATGTGCTAATGCCATGCCTGTGTCTACTTCTATTATCGCTGTTCTACTTCCACTATCAGTAATTAGCGTGTACACAAGCACACGTGTGCACATGCATGTGTGACAAATTCCTGTATAGTAAACCTACGAGCGCAGCTTTTTGTGCTGAATTATTCCTGTTGAGGAAGCACAGAGGAGAAGAAAGAGTGGTGGACGAGATGTTAGAGTAAGAGAGCAAGCAAAAGAAAATGCGGTGTTAAAAACAGATTTCACAATGTGAGAGGCAGCCCAAGGGACATTCACTGTCCGTTCACCCTAAGACCTTGTCCAAAACTTTCCACTTCCTGCTCAGTCGGCGTGTCACCACAATTGCCTGCCTCAGCTCCTGGGATCAAAGTTGGCGCCCCCAGTGATCCGTCTACACCCTCTAACCCAGCTTCATCCTCATCTTCCTCCTGTTCCTCGTGGGCTACTCCTTCACCTTCACCTTCAGCCTCTGCTCCAGCAGCCCCTGACCCAGGGCTGTCCTCTGTCAGTGGTGGGTGAGTCCTGAGAGGGTCCTTGCGATCTGGATACAACCTCTGCTCTAGGGTCTTGAAGTCAGGCTCGAAGGGTAGGGTTACCCCTGGTTGGGGAGCACCCAGCGCCAGGCCCAGACCCACAGCGGCACCCATGCCCATTCCTGCACGGTACACCTCCATGCCATCAGGCAGCATGGACTTGATCTTGGGCAACCATCGCTTGCGGACACGCCTCGCATTTGTGCACATGTCAGCAGCAATCACATTCATTTCACTCTCCTTGAAGTTAGGGTTGAAATTTTGACAGTAGACTGCAAAAGAGAGAGGACAACAAACCCCATGTTGACAAATTGTGCTTTTAAAAAATTGTATCACATATAGGTGATGATGATGAATAAACCTACGTTTGACAGCATTGAGGACCCTGCTGTCCAGGGGTTTCCTACTGGGGTCACTAGTAGAAGAACGGATACCTGTCCCACAGCTATTGGCTAAAGTGTTTCTGCAGGGATACAGAGTGAACACCAGGGGGCAGAGTCAGCAACAGGCACATACAGTAGATAAACATGGGAACACACACACAACTAACCGCATTGCACAACATGGCCACAGATGGAGTGTGAAAGTTGGTTTGTGACAACAGCGGTAGTGTTGGAGTCATACACAGAACTCAAATCTTATACTAGGCCCCTCAAAGACTAATACACACTGTTCTGCTTTGTTGTGCATGTCTTTATACTCACCTATCAAAGAACGTGGCTAGCAGGCGGCGGAGCAAGACTTTGTGTTTGATACCAGCACATAGATGACAGTTCATCAGCTGGCCTCGAGTCATGAACACCTGTGTACCTGGTGTAGCATAAAAAAGGAAGATTTGCTGAGAAAATGCTCATAATACAATCCATTTTCCTGTCAAAACTCTAGGGGTTTGCCTTTTCTCTCTTTGGCCCAGTTACCAATTAATCTTGTATTCTTTGACTACATTTGAAATTCATGTTGAAGGAGATATTTAATGGACTTAAACAAAGCTGCAACTATTAAATTACTTGGTTTTTGAAAAGAAAGCAAATCTCTTTCATATTCATGTATTGTATTCTGTATCTTACATGCTGACGAAAGAACTGAACAGTATGTTTCCATTTTGTTTGTAATTCAATTACATTTCAATCTGATTGAATCTGAGGAAGTTTTTTGATTGATTACTGAACGCAACTTCCATCTGTATGGGTCATCGCATTCAGTTGTGTGTGTCTGTAAAATGCACTGGAAAGTATTCAGACTCTCACAGATTCTTTTGTCTGAAAAGATTCAATACTAAATTGATTAAACTTTTTGCCATGCTCCATTGTAGGAATTGCATTAGGCACATGTTGAGCAGTACCTGGTTGAAAATGTCTGGTCTGACTGCCAAGAGCAATATCTGGCAGTCATACCAAAAAATCTTTTCCCTCATGCTCTCAGAGGCCTGTAAGGACCATTTGGCAAACTCCTGGCAGGCTGTCATATGCTTTTTACTCCAGAGTGACTTCTGTCTAGTCACTCTACCATAAAGGCCTGATTGATGAGTACTGCAGAGATGGTTGTCCTTCTGTCACGGTCTTCAATCCCTGCAGAGAAAGTCTGCAGCTTTTTGCTGTCCTTTTCAGATCAACACAGTGATGAGGGCCAAAACCGCTATGTTGCCAATCAAAGTGGTTGAACGTGGGTTCGATGCTACTGAATGGGGTTCAATTGAATATTGAATATCTAAAGATAATTTAACCACGTCTTAATTATATATGTATATTAAAACTAGAGTTGTAGACTTTTACTTTCTGTAAAATGGTGAGTTTAACCTCTGACAGCAGTCTCATATGGGTCAAACACAGGTTGAATACATGTGTCTCCTGCATAAAAAGGATTTTACTAAGGGTCAGTGGGTTGTGGGTAACCTCTCCAATCAATGGCCTCTTTGTCCGTTACTGACTTTAAGCATTTGGCAAGCTCTAAGAACAGTCTTGATTTTAAAGGTTTTCTATTTTAAAACGTTTGAGCCCTCTAAGCTCCAGAATTTATTAGTCAAAATTAATTCAATCAATTATATTTAATTTTTTACCAACTATTCAATATTAAATTATCTAAATGTGCAAACGATATGATTACTTTACAAAATCACTGCATACAAGAAATTCTCTGTATGTGTTCATGTGACAAAATGTGAGCAAGTAAATGTGTGTGAATGGAAGCATGTGTTTGTATGTGTGTGCCTACCAGCTACCAATTCCAGCTTCTCCCCAGGGTCCCCCTCAGAGTAGAGCTTAGGGTGGCAGCGGTAGCCTATCTGGCTGATGAGACTTGCAGGCAGTGCCACCAGGTCCCTGCGGATCAGCACACAGTTGCGGTTCTCCAAGGCCAAGGGCACCGCTGCCATCTCTGGCTTGTCCTGGACTGATGAAAGCAAACAAGAACAGAGTATAGAAAGCTTTAGAAAAACTAAAAAGGTATTGTGTTACACAGCTAAACTGAAACAGATAAATGTGCATGCATCCATATATTCATCAGACTATGAACTACACAAACAGAGTTATACTAGCTATCATCCATAACCTCTATTTAGATAGACCATACAGCATTTAATTAGTAAAGCAGGTTGGTGTAATCTCATACAAGTTTGTTGTTTTTCATAAATGTTTTAGAGCATTGCAGATGTATCCCAGATAAGTCACGATGCTGCATCAGCAACTTGAGTTTAAGAGGGGGACAGATCCAAAGCTGGGTGTTAGGTTCTTACTCACAAAATTGTTTCCCCTAACCTCTGAGATGACTTGGGAGTGTATGCACATGCACGCACCTCCTTTGCACACACATGCAAACATGTGCACTTGGACACACACACACACACACACACACACACACACACACACACACACACACACACAGAGAACAGGGGAAATTAATCCATTAATTGCCGCACACACAAAGGCACATAGTGTATACAAAAAAGTGTGGATTAATCTATTTGCATGTGCATTCACAATCCCTACACACACACACACACACACACACACACACACACACACACACACACACACACACACAGGAAAGACGTGCATGGATCTCAGATATCCCACAATGTCACCCTGGGGTGCTCTGACTGATTGCAGATAGAGTGGATTTCATAAATATCTGAAACTCTAGAATTTGACAAACCTGTGGGCTGCCTTTGAGCTGCAGGATGCTAAGAATGATGGAAAGAGTGTATGTGTGTGTCCACATGTGAATTTGACCATTGGTGTCCAGTCTGTGTGATTATGTGTGAATGCAAACACAAGTGAAACTGTGCCTGCATGTGTAGTATGAAAGTGTGATAGAAAACCATAACAAAAAGCAGTACAGACCAGCTGTTGTGGCTGTGATAAGGAGTGTGTTGTTGGTCACGATGCACTCCAATCACAACTCCATAAAGCTATCTTTATGCTGAGAGAACCCACACACACACTGGAGGCCCAAGATCCTGCTTTTTCAAGATGCGCAGGATACATGATTTATGAAAGATTAAATAATGTAACTGGGATGAAATGAATGTGCATCAGTTTTTGCACAATACATAACAAGCCTGGACAAGGAGCAACTATGTTCCAAAAACCCTGCATTTATGGTTATATATATTTCTGCAAGTCATGCCGACTTTTACTTTTAGATCAGTCTGATATCAAATGAATTTCCTCCATCTGAGCCAAGGGCAATTGAGAAAGTAATTCACTTACTCAGATCTTACATGGCTAGAAAGATAAAATTGAGGCAGGTTTGCCTTTGAGATCGTCTTGTTAGCATTTGCTCATTTTACCCGTTTTTCCTTTAAACTACTTTAATTTAACCGGAGTTAGGAAGTAAATAGTGTTAGTTGCTGTAGTGGAATAAGATATTTTTGAGTATGTTGTAAGATAAAAATGGAACATTAGTTTTTGTCTATAACAGAGAACATGCTGTATTTTTAGATGTTTATAATGATGAAAGATTCCAGGGTAAAGCTTCAGGCATGAGTGCTTTCCACCAAATACAGTAATGGTGTTTGAAATACACCTAAGCACTGTAACACCTCACACAGATCTTATAAAAGCATCAAAATAACACAGTACTTACTCCCATAGGGGTTAGCTGAACGTCCATAGAGATGACTGTAAGCATCCTCTGTGATCCCATCATAGGGCTCTTCCTCAAACTCCTCATCCTCATTCTGGTAGGATGTAGGACTGTCAGTGGTTGGCAGGCTGGATGCTCCAGGACTGGACCTTTCAACTCCTCCTCCTGCTCCACCCCCACTGGCCCCATGAAAGTGGTAAGAAGGCATACCAGGGATGGGGGTCCCACCAGCCGTTGAGTAGAACAGTGAACTGGCCCTCGCCAGCCGACTCCCCAACTCCGAAGACGAAATCTTGCTTTGTGTCGAGGGTATTGTCAAGGGCGTCGGGTCACCCCCTTCCAGTTTAATCTTACGCTGTGGCATGAGTAGGGAAGGAGACCAGCCCGGGGTTCCCAAAAGGGCAGCCACCGCTAGTCCGTTACCGTTATTACAAGGACTCTGCGGCTCAGATCCTGTTTCCTCTAAAGACCCTGCTGTTTGCGAGTCACAGTGAGGTGAGTTCGCCTTGAACATAAGGTCCATGCCTTTTTCAACTATATGCTGAATTTGGAGGTAGCCAGCTGTGTACATGACCACTAGCTGTTCACTAGCTGCCATTGTTAGCTTCCCTGTATAGCAGAAAGTGAGGATCTGCTCAAAGCAAGCAGGTGTGACTGAGGAGGGCAACTCAAACTGGGTCTTGGTGGAGCTGCTGAAGAGGTCACGAAAATAGAGGCTGCTGGCAGCCAAAACGGCCCGGTGGGCTTTGAAAGCCTGACCTGGTTGATAGAAATAACAGAGAACAGAAAAAAAAGTTAAGAATATTGAGAAAGAATTATTGTATCATTTCAAAGTTCTGTAGTTAAAATTAAACCAACCTTTGACTAGGATGGATACATCGCAGTAGTGTCCCAGCAGGCGCTGCTCATTGAGGGAGCCCAGAACTGTGGCTCCAAAGTTTGGGATCTCCACATGGAGCAGCTGGGACATGTTGGCCAAAAAGGAAGATGGGGTTTCAGATATTCACTGTAGACTCTGCCACTGAGAGAGGCATCTGTAAAAAAAAAAAAAAAAAAAAAAAGAAAGAGAAGAGAAACGCAGTGATGAAGAAAGGAGTGAATAGAAAATGCGTGAAAGATGAAAAGACATGCCACAGGGAGGTAGAGAGGCGAGAAGGGAAAATTGAGAGAACCTTAAAGGAGGCACAGAACAAGATTGAAAATAGAGTTGAGATAAAGTGAGAACATGAATACAGTTGAGGGAGAAGTGAGAGGTGTGTGAAAGAGAGATGGATATGTGGAGATAGTGGGTGAGAGTAGAGGCAGGAGAGAGAAAAAACAAAAAGGAAAGAAAAGAAAAGAATACAATGCCCTGCCTAGTGTACATGAGAACATTGTGAAATACCTTAAGGATATGCTGTTTTACATGACTTAAATTCCAAGAACCTTGCACTAATTCCATGTGTTGCACTGTAATTATTATCCTGTAACAATTCTCCTGCGGTATGGACTTTGAATACCTATAAGTCAGCCTTGACAACTTTTCTCAGAACCACACTGAATGGAGACAGTTTTTGCTGACTTTACACCTTTGTCAGCCTTGGCCCTTTCTCCAAACTCTGGCTAGAAAACAAACCAACTCATGTCATACACACAGTTTCATATGAACTTTAACAGCTCCCTTTTCTCCCTCTAAGTAACATTCCCCCGGCATATTTGCTCCTTCTTACGACCCTGAACCTTGTGTCATTGTTTTTTTCTTTCTCAACCAACCCACACAACACACACACACACACATACACACACACACATACATATACACACTAGTTTCATTATTAAGCAATGCTGCAGAACAGTTTCCAGGAATACAAACTGAAAAAAAATGTCACCGCCTCTCTTACACACACTCTCTCTTTCTCTCCCACTTCATGCTCTCCATACAGACAGACATGCACTCTGGCTTACTTATATAAAAGTGCACACACACACACACACACACACACACACACACACACACACACACACACACACACACACACATAGCATATACAGTACAGGCTGCATAAGGAAATACTGTGTACTCTGTCTGGCACGCAAGCTCTCACCTGGAGAAACCAGCACACGACTTTCCTCTGCTAACAGTCTCTCACACATGCACAAATGCAGAAAAAAGCGCTCACTGTTATCCCAGACAGTTCTGACCTGTGTAAGCCAGTCTTCTGGTTAAAAACACACCATGGAGTCTTGGGCACACACAAACACACCAGCAGCAGTCAGGACCAGGACAGAAGAGGAGTAGTTATAGATGAGGGAGAGCACTCTGATGTACTCCGTCTGGTCGACTCTCTCTTTCACTTAAAGTGTCATTCCCACTGTCTCAAAGATGATCCTCTCTGCTGTCTGACTTTTCTCTGTCTGTCTTCACCCAGCCTTCTTCTTCTATCTCTATATCCTCCAAAGCCCCATTCTCTCTGCTCACTGTCTGTTCTACCGCTGTCTCAAAGCCTCCCTCTGCCTCCCTGTCATTATCTCTCTCTGTTTCTCTCCCCTCTCTCTATTCTCCAAGGGTTGAATTCAACAAGTGCCGCTGTAGAGAGAGAGAGAGAGAGAGAGAGAGAGAGAGAGAGAGAGAGAGAGAGAGAGAGAGGAAGAGAATGGGGAGAGAGAAAGAAAGCAGAGCAGAGCAGAGCGAATCAATGATGAAAGGAGTGGGAGGCTCACTGTGTGTGTGTGTGTGTGTGTGTGTGTGTGTGCATGTGTCTGCGCGCGTGTGTCTGATCAATGCAGTATCTATACGTCGCAGGGAGTGGGAGGGAGAGAAAAACACAGGCTACAGTTACAGACGGAGACAGAGACTGGGCAGAGCTAGAGAGAAGCAGAGGAGGGAGGGAGGGAGGGAGGGAGGGGAGAGTTGAGACAGAGAGAAAGTCATTTGAGGACAGTACGAGTAGAGAAAGACAATTAGGTTGAAGCAACTTCTGCCACTTGCCCCTGGACAGAGATGCCTATATGGTCGACCAGAAAGAGAAGGAGAATGACTAAGACAAAAGAGAAATGAGAAAAGCTTACAGAGGTCATAGGCACCGTTAATTAATTGGACATCGAATAGTGAAACTTCTGAATTCCCTGTTTGTCGCAAGTCTGGGGAGAATGCGTCACATCTTGGTAAAGCAAAGCTTTACTAACCTGGAAGCTTCAATATACACAATGCTGTACTCCTCTAATCACTCCAATTGTAGAATTAAAAAGGTCAATCAAAAGCGCAGTCATTTAAAGGTATTCCCCATTTTCTTACAATCTGTGGAAGACAATAGTTTAAAAAAAAGGTTTTACTTTTTGAGCAAGTGTTGTGTGTTTTCTCTGAATCATGCAAAGACCTCTCTGCCAAACACCTACACACAAGCGAAGAGAAGTTCTGTCTTCACGCAAGACTATTTTGTATTTTCTACATGAATTGATAAATTAAATGATTAATTTACGCCTCCACTGTGGTGGCTCTGCTTATTCAGGTGACATTTCAGTATTTTCTGTTTTTGACCAGCACATAGAATGCCTCCCTAAATGCTGCTTGATGCGGATGAGGGAGGACAGGAGGCAGATGTCACAGCCTGTGACAGGCAAGGAAAGATAAAAGACAACATTGAACAGAGAGGATAACTTCCAGAAAGAGGTGTGTGGGAGGATAAGAATGCAAAATTGCTGTGACACAAGAGTAAGTGCATTTTTACAGTATGTGGATGCACACCAGTGTAAATGTTGTCTTATTCTTGCATGTCAGTGAAAACGGGAAACTCTCCGACCTCTGTGCTGCATTTTGGTCGGAGGGAGATGAAGACGGTGAACAGTTCAGTAAATTATTTTTCAAAATGTTTTCACCTCGCAATACACACAATTTAACAAATCTGTTAAAGAAATAAATTTTAAAAAGCTGATGCAGATCATTTTTATATCCAAGCATGTCCCCAGAAAGCATCTAGACACATTGCGCTTCAATTTTTTGCCAAAGAAACCTCAAGTGGAGAAAGTTGTGCTAAACTGAGCAAACTTTTACTCTTCAGTCACAGCGGAAATATGAAAGGGAGGATATCACAAAGCGTTGAATACAGTGAGCCAGAGTTTGGTTTAGAGAGCTTTGCCCCAGCAGTGTGATATCTGCACGGCACATATAGGCACACATGAGTGAGCACACACAAAAAGCACAGTCAAACGCAGGAGACACAAATCCGCAAACACACTAATGCAAACAGACATATACACACTCCCCCTGTTCTCTTACACACACGCCAACACACAGTCAGGTAATCTCCCTGTGCACACTCAGCAATACACATTCTATTTGTTTGTCTGTCTGTCTGTCTGTCCCTCTGTGAACCAGCCACACTGCTCGCCATCGGTCCGTCTATCAGTTATTGTGATTATTGTGTCCTTACATCGCCTCTTGCTTTTCCCCTCTCCCTTTTCTCTATCCTTCCCGCCCTGCATACCACATACCCAATGTCTCTCTGCCAATTAATGCACACAGGGCTGCATTGCAGTGAGGTTGGCGCGTGCCACGGCAGCAAGCACAGTACAGAGTCTACAGACATGCATGTACGTGCCAGCCGGGCAGAGGGAGAGGGAGAGGAGGAGGAGGAGGAGGTGGAGGAGGAGGAGGAGGAGGAGGGGGGGGGTGAGGGAAAAAGAGGAAGAGGGAGGGGGAGAGAAAGAGCAAAGGAGAGTGAACGGAGAATATGTTGAGTCAGGCAGACAGGACCGCGGTGTGCCACACTGCACATATACACAGACACACAGCCGCATGTAAATGTATGCACGAATGAATAAGAAACAAACATACATGTACATGTAAATTATGGGGGTATGCGAACGCACACATTCACACACGTATAAAAGTGCACATATACACACACACATACATAAACATTCACATGGAAATTGCTGCCTCCTCCTGCCTGCATTAAATATAGACTTTGCATATCCCCGATAAAAAAATATAAGGCATGAACTCTCTCAACTTGTTTGCCTAACGAGTGATTGTGTGTGTGTGTGCGTGTGTGTGTGTGTGTGTGTGTGTGTGTGTGTGTCGTGCCTCTCTGCTGCTTGTGTCCTCATTTACTTCTATGTGTGTTTGCATTTCCATGTCAAAGTTTCTCGCATACCAAGGCGTGTTTTTATAATCATCGTTATATACCCGGCTGTGACTTTTGGCACTGTATGTCAGGCATGTGTGCGTGTGTGTGCGTGCGCGCGCCGGCACAGTTTGTGAGTTGATATATGAGATTTGAATGCTGTTCTGATTGCTGTTGTCTGCTTTGTTGGAATGTGTTACATCCATTTTAATCAAAGATTCATACCTACGCACAGTGTTATTAACAGTAGCAGCAGGTCCAGGCATATTTGAATAATATGAAGAAATGAGACGATTCGCCAGATGGCACACACACATGCACACACACAGATTTAATTACTAGTTATGCTGTAGCTACCTACCAAATGACAATAGGGTAACATTCAAACATAAAACCATAAAAGTCATACACAATTATGAGTCATGCATTTGCCATTTAGTACTTTATGGAATAGTTCAAGTAAGTTCATTCTGGAAGTTAAGTTGGTGTTAACTTTTATTCAAGATGCAGGTCACAAAATCCTAACTAATCTAAACATATATTAAGTACAGAAAATAAAGATAAGTAATAAGATCAGTTAATATCTCAGTTAAAGTACAGCGATCCACAAAAAAAAGGCAACAAAAAGAAATTTTTGAAGTGAGCTGAATAGGAACAGCTCCTTCCCCTCTCGCTTATGTTGCCTCTATACAATCTCAATATGAACAGTCCCCTCGTTATAAATATTCAGATCCTGCAGTTGTTCTCATGTCTAAAGTGTACCAGACAACAGATTCTATCCACGTTGAGACGGCAACGCTCCCTGGCAACAGTTCTACCAATCGGGACCGAGCGGGTGTCTGCCTGAGTCTGTCTGAGTATCATTATGGGATGTCGAGAGAGCGAGAGAGAAAGAGTGAGAGAGGCTGCTTATCACTGCTTATAATGCAACATCATTCTCTGTGTATAGACCCCGCTGGGTGAAGTTGTCTGCACATAGTCAGGATCAAAATCATCTTTTCTTAAAAAAAATAATAAAAAAAATCTCCCAATGATTCATACAGTTATGTAACAAACAGACAACTATGAAATGATTTGTTGTGGGCTGAATATTGTCTGGTATCTTTCCACTTGTATTCACTCAATATGCACCAATAATGTAACTCCTGGACTGACAAGGAGAAAAAAAAAAAAAAAAAAGGCTAAAATTCAGGTTTAACTAATGGCACAATGCTGCGGCTGTTGCAATACAAAAATGACTGTGAATATAAAGTCAGGTAGAAAATCACATACTTGGGCTGGATGACGTGACCTTAAACCCGCATCATAATAATGTGTCACAATTGGTTAAATAATATTACATTTAACAGTTAATACATCAGTGCCTAATAATTAATTTCTTGTGCTGGCTGACCTCTGATTTGCTTCTCCTGTTTAATACACTATGTCCGCTAAAGAGTTTTCTGGACCTTTGCACTGGACTGTAAGCTAATTGATTTGTTGATCTTATATGCAACATTACCATAAAAAAAATAATCTGAAGTTGACTGTTAGCTTGCCACTTAAAAAGACTATAATCAATATTTTGATAATGGATAAAATACGTGTAATGTGAATGTCGCCCGTTGGGACAAACCCATAGAGAAATACACCCGGCTCTACAGTTCCTCTTAGCTGTATGGAGCTTTATAGTGTCTTTCAGCACTTGTTTTGTTTTTTAGGCCCACGACTTAAATGTTTTGGCCACAGCAAGAGGCTACATTCTGCAAAAAATATTTGATAAACCCACTGTTACCCACCTGCCCAGCACCAAAAAGCAGACAGACAGAGCTAGCGGCTAGCTGGTGAACATATTGTGCAGCCTTTAGCAGCTAAAGAGCAAGATATTTTTTTGCAGTTGGTGCAGACCAAAAACAGAGCTATAAGGGGAGTGACTATTGGACTTGTATGCACCAGGTGGCCAGAGACACAAGTCATGATGAATGTTAATTTTACTCAGAATCTGTTAAACTGCATGCTAACTAGTTAGCCTTGAAAGGATGATAATATTTCAGGGTTGCGTTCACGGCTTGTTTCTAGCCCTACATACAATATTATTATTACCTGCTGCTCCTGTAATTGATGGTCATCATCTATTTCCCCTAAAATCAAACAGCCAAAGGCTTAATTATCATTTGTACAAAATGGACAATAACATGCATCCATCATTTTTCTGGCACAGGTGTGCATGTATTAACAAATGGGCTATACATATGTAAATGGATGGCAGCTTTGTGGTGGAAGACAGCACTGCAGCAAGTTACCTTTTCACCTCTTATTGCACATAAAACTCTGACATTTGACAGTGGTTGGGGACTGTATCAGACACAAAGTTGTGACAGAAAACTCCTATAACAGTGGGCTACCTGTCAGTTTAGTTTGTCATTGTGGCGGGGGGAAAAAAAACAGACAGTGGGAAAGACAGCGGAAGAGCATGTATGTGTGTGTGCATGTGCATTTCCGAGTGTGTTTGTGTGTGTGAGTGATTCTCCTGAGGCAAAGGCATTGCTAATGAACTCCAAGTGGCTGTGGGAGGTAAACAAACAAACACTAGCAGCGGCTACTACATCACACCAAACTCTGGTGACTAGGACATCGGGATGATTGCATACACCCATACACACAAACACATCAACCCACATACCCTTGAACATACAGGATGACTTTTGGGTGTACAGTTGAGAGTTGAATAGACAGAGATAGAGGAGGGAGAGAAATTGA